ATTTAAAATTCAAAAATCTTAAAGCACCTCTATTTTAAATTTTATTCAATATGATTTCCATTACATTTTTAAATTTTGATATTTCTAATACATGCTCACAGTATACATTACAACAATTTTACCTCTTTTACTCTTAAATTTTAATATTTATATAAAATTTATTAATAAAGTATATTTAATACATACACACAAACTAAATAATTACCCTTCAACATCTATATAATTAATATTTTAAATTATATTATATTCAAGTTGGTGTATGCGTGAAACTTTAATATATATATAATTATTATTATATATTTTTCAAACATTTTTAAATATATTAAAACATAAAATATTATATTTTCGTTTTTTTTAATACTTTATATTATTTATTATTTGAAAATTGAAAATTAAAGGATTTATGAAATTTAATTAATATTTTAAATTTATTTATCAAGTTGGTGCATGAGGTAAAGCATAAGAACGTTTGCCTTCCAATAGTGAAGTCGCAAGTTCCAATCCCGGGGATGGCAAAAAAAAATTTTCAAAAAAAAATTTACATTACACTATATAGTCTCCTTAAATTTTAAATACATTACGGAGATACGAAAACGATCATCGTGTGATTATGGAGATTATATATATTAGACATATATGCCCGCCCCTGGTTTAACAATCTTAGACCCTGCCTTGCCCTGGTATTTTGTAAAAATAATTTTCAGGCCAAAAAAAGAATTTTTTAGGCCTGGGCCTACAGGTCTCTGATATATATATAATTTGACGATTTTAAGTTGCCGATGAAAAGCTATGTTGTATAAAACATGAGAACAATAATATATGCACACACCATTTGCCATTAGACTGAATAGAAGTTCCTGGAGGATTTATATTTAATTTTTCACAATTAACACACACCATCACTTTTATATTCATTTTACATAATTTTACGTAATAAATTAATCATGTCTGTTTTTTTAGAAAATATTAATAATTAAAAAAAAAATATTTGTTAAAAATAAAGTTTTTATTAATATAAAAGAACTTAAATAAGTTTATTTATTTATTAACAAACGCCATCTAGCTTAATTTTATTTATTAAATTTTGAAATTGTTTATCAAATTTGTAAAATATTTAAATAAATAATTGCTTTAAATTTTTTTTATTAAAATTATAAAATATTATAAATCTAACATGATATATGTAAAAATCATTATTAACTAAGATTATGGACAATATTTATCTGGCTTGTTAACATTTTTTAATATTATATTACGTATTTTTTCCTTAATCAAAAGATATATCAGAAAAAAATACGTAAAAAATATTTAAAAATAACAGAGTTGTTAAAAGATACTTTTTAAATGGTTCTAGATACAGACACATCGTCTAAAAAAATATCTAGATACCGATATTTTAATCAAAAATCTATCTAGATACATATACAGATACCACATTTTTATATCTAAGGTACATATACAGATACCACATTTTTATATCTAGATCTTTTAACAACTCTGAAAAATAATATTAAGTTGAATCGAATATAAACTGCGGATTATAGCTATATGTATCTGTCGATTTGTAATTGACATTTATAGACGTTTTGTCAATATATTTGAAAAAAAAAAATTTTCTTTGTTTCAAAAATTTTTAATCATGGTGATTTTGTTGTTGTAATATTTATATAAAAAAAATAAAGATAATTTAAACGAGCTGTAATATATTTTAAAATATGATTTGCACCGGACCTAATATTTTTCAAGCCCGACCCGGCACGACTCGACCCGAACCCGAAATTTTTTTAAAAAAGTATTAGGCCCGACCCGGCCCGAACCCAATTTTTTTTAAAAAAACTTAAGTCCGAGTCTGGCCCGGCCTTACTTTTGCCGATCTCTAATATACATATTATAATCATGGGATGTAATATTGGTTTTTTTGATATTGACATTTATATGAAATAAAATGATGGGACGAAATATTGGTATATATGAAATATTGTTAAATGTGATAACCATAATTTCTAAATATTATTTTTCGAAGAGACCAAACAATTATTTCTATATTATTATAAGTAAAGAGAGAGAAATTAAAATAGTTTTTTTTTCTTTCTTTCTTTCTTTCTTTCTTTCTTTCTTTCTTTTTTCTTTCTTTCTTTCTTTATTATTATGGTGAAAAACAAGTTTAAAACGATTATGTCAATTATTACCTTATCAAAAAATATTTATATCACAGAAATTGTACCAAAAAATTTTTTTTAATTAATCATGTTTAAATATCGTCTGTCAAAAAAAAAAGAAGATTAGTTATTAAAATGATGATAAATTGAAATGATTGGGATAAAAGATGTTTATTATGACAGTTTGCACCTCATTAAGATAATATTTTCACTTATTCGTCCATTTCCCCAAGACATAGCCAGCCATTTCAGATGTAAAATTTATATTTTGTAAATTCAAACACCTTAAAAAAATACAAATGGTGGCCATTTTTAAATTTTATCCAACAATTTAAAAATAAAAATCATGTGCTTTACAGCTAATACTTAATTATCGCAATGGTTCTTTTCTTTATGACCTCTAAGGGTAGAACGTATTATAATCAATATGAAAGATCGCTTGCTTACTTCTACTAACACTTAATTTCTGTAGTTGTTCTTTGCTTTTTAGTGTTCTCTAATGAGCTGAGACCAAAATAAAATATCAAAACGGTCGCGGAAATATTTTCCGTCACTCATGTAAGCGGAGCGAACAAAGGCGGAGATTATTTCTATTATGTTGATTATCAATGATTGGTATTTCCCATCTAATTTTAGAATTTTCAACCGACAAGCATACCGTCATACATATGCCATCGCGTTTTTTTTAATATATAAATAAATTAATTTATTATCGAGATAATTGAATTTAAATTGCGAAGTTGTATGCACATATTATGCAATATATAGTTAATAGTTAATAAAATAATTAAATAATGTTTATATTTTTAGAAGGTTAAATAGACAATTCAATAAAAAAAAAAAAATTTAAAAGAATTAAAATAAATTCCTATTTGAAATGTATTAAAAATTTTCGTTTTAATTTAAATTTTAATTTCAATCTCGACAAAACTAACAAACACAAAACAATGATAATTTGCCCGCTAAAAACTGTATGCCGAAAATAAAAAAAATATATCCCTCAATTCGTTAATTTCTTCCCCAAGGAAAAATCAAAAAGGGATAAAACTTAAATCATCTTCACAAACATTAATGCACAATAAATCGAATCCTTCATATACCTAGCTAGCTCAAATGTATGGTTTAGATGATATCGATATTTCTGACCACGGCTCAGATGACATAGATATTAGATCTAATTATTATTATTTTCGTCATAATTATCCGATCTTGAGTGAACCCAAATTGAAAAAAAGTTTAATTTTAATATATATATATATTTATTATATATATATATATTCACAGATCTGCAAACCCGGTCCGGCCCGGCCCGTATTATATTTTTTTTTAAATATAACCGAGCCGTGCCGTGCAAATGGCAGGTCTTTGATATATATATAGTATATATAAAACTCGAAACAAGTTCGCCATCTTATTTTTTTATTAGTTTAAATTACAAAATAAAAAGAAATACCCATAATATATGAGTCAATACATGGGTGGGGTTAAGATAAATATATGTATATGTTATAACTGGTGACAACATGCAAAATTTTACTAAAATTTTTATATTATATAGGTATTAAGTAAATCATTCCGTTAGTTCTTATATGGCTTGCGTAGATACCCTTAATTGGTTCATATCTTTGAAAAGAATATTGTTTATAAAATATATGAAAGAAAGAGAAAGAAAGAAAGAAAGAAAGAAAGAAAGAAAGAAAGAAAGAAAGAAAGAAAGAAAGAAAGAAAGAAAGAAAGAAAGAAAGAAAGAAAGAAAGAAAGAAAGAAAGAAAGAAAGAAAGAAAGAAAGAAAGAAAGAAAGAAAGAAAGAAAGAAAGAAAGAAAGAAAGAAAGAAAAGAAAAGAAAGAAAGAAAGAAAGAAAGAAAGAAAGAAAGAAAGAAAGAAAGAAAGAAAGAAAGAAAGAAAGAAAGAAAGAAAGAAAGAAAGAAAGAAAGAAAGAAAGAAAGAAAGAAAGAAAGAAAGAAAGAAAGAAAGAAAGAAAGAAAGAAAGAAAGAAAGAAAGAAAGAAAGAAAGAAAGAAAGAAAGAAAGAAAGAAAGAAAGAAAGAAAGAAAGAAAGAAAGAAAGAAAGAAAGAAAGAAAGAAAGAAAGAAAGAAATTTTTTTTGATAGGGTTTAGTTAGAACAATATATATATATATATTATTTAATTTCACATATAGTTTTTAATTTATTTATATTTTTTGTAACTTTGGCCGACAATGTATTATATTGACCAAATTACAATAATATCATGTCATATTTATAAAGTAAAATTAAATTAAATTATGGATCCATGTTAAAATATTTAGACTTGACTTTTAGCATTACGTTGTTACTCTGTTTGAAATTATATAGTTTTCATATTTAATTTTTACCAGTTGAAAAATGTTATAATTTTACATATGATCTAATCCATTTATAGTAAAGGGAAGGAAAAGGAAACGGGATTAAATATAAAGAATGGAATAATATTATCAACTTAATAAATATCGCATTCAAATTATTACTATATCTTATATTATAGTGATGTTAAATTACATAACTTTGACCAAACTCCAAAATGGAGTCGTCATGATTATCAAGTTTAGCCTCAACTCTGGCAAAAGTTAGATGGTTTAAACAACATTACTTATCATATCGAGTAGCTATTTAAAAAGTTTTTTTTCAATATTAAAATATTCTATTCGAATGATCATTTAGTAATTCCTAACTAGTGCGCTCTGAAGAGATTTTAAGAAAAATCTATTTATATATATTCATGTTAAATGTAAATTTCCGAACTGACTTTTTTTGGGTGTGGTGACTTTAATTTTTAACTATCCAAAAATATTTAAATTTTTTAATGAAAACCTATCTACAGAAATGAATGTCCTGAACATAATACCGCCAGACGTTAAGGAACAAATAGATATGAGTCAACGGGTTACGAAAGGTCTGATGTCGCCCACTTCTCACGATAAGAAGAACAAGGCCACTCAATTCTTCATGAAAAATGCGGAGAAGGTCAATATCGAGAATAACAACAACGGCGTAGAAGCGGAAATCTCTGATGACAGTTACAGGAAAAAAATAGGTATTAGAAAAAACATCTTTTTTTTATATCCTATATATTTTACTAAGTTGTATTGCAGTGGAAGCGTCGTTGAATTGAATGCAAATCAGCTGGACCCGCTCATTTAGATTTTTATAAAAATCAATATTAGTTAGTGTTGCTTAAACGGCCCAATTCGAGCCTATTTTTTAAAAAACAGCTGACTCAGTATTCTCATCCAGAAAAAAATATTGCCCCAGCCCTGAAGATTTTGCTCATAGATGGGCACACAGGATTGAACATCTGTTTGTTTGGCGAAATCTCGGCACTTAGGGAAATCAGCTGTTTACCAACACTAATCAATATTATATTTTAACAAAAAAAGAGGGCAGAAAAATATATATATATATTATATAAATTTTTGTTTTAGATTATTTTAACGCATATCAAAGACAACTAAATGGCAGAAGTAATACAGCTGTTACCAATTTTTCGGGCCAAGCCCAAGCTCTCAGTGAAAATTTATCCAATGTAAGATAATACGATTTTTTTTTTATTTATTTGTTTACAAAAATAATGCACGCAACAAAAACAAAATACTTTCGATAAATACGTCATTCACGGATAGTGGTTAATTTTGTCACCCTAGTTTGGGTAAAGAATTCTATTCGTGAATTTATGGAAGGGAACGACTCATCTGGAATTTGCGACTCTTCACCTTTGGATTTCCGGTCACAAACATATCAAACTTCCACATATTATTATGTACCATTGTAAACAGCTGTTGACTTTATCCATCGGGTAGAAAAATATTAAACACAGACTGAGATGGATCCTGAGAATCATATATTCAGATTTAGGGCTCGATACTGTTCCTTCGTTTAGAGCCCGCGGTCCTGAGCATCGCCTAGGGTCAAACCTATCGTTTTCATGTCATTATCTACCACTTTCACCCAGACTGTCTTACGTCGTTATCTGGGTATTGCCCCCCTCACCCACTCCCAACCAACGGCATCTATTCAAGGAATTAAAATGATATGGCTATTAGTGCGGACATTTTCTAACGATTATATGGATATTAATGGTTATTAATTTATAAAATGATTGGGATAGAGTTAACCTAATGTTAGAGTTTTAAAAAATATTTCCTAAATATATTTTAGCCGCGAATTTTCTATTTTTTTTTTTTGGTTTATCGCTAAAGGTTTTTCTTTAATTTTTATTCTGTCGGTGTTTTAAACACGGCCCAACTCCAATATCGAACCTTACTGTTGTATCTGTCGATATATAAATGACATTTATGGACGTTTATCAATCGATTTCGAAAAAGAGATACATCACATTTTTTTTTTATCTTTGTTTTTTTTTAGAATTATCATGTGACATTATGATTATCTATCCCAAAATCCTATTTTCAGCTTCATCGTGGTGGGGGAGTGGCAACATCTTTTGGCCGCTGATAGAGATCTTAAAGGTTCCCTCTGATCTGGGTCTAGAATAGGATCACCTTTTCCTCGACCGGGTGCAAAAACCACTTGGTTGATGTCAGGAAGGGCATCCGATCCTAAATGTTTCGCTACAGAATTTCACTATTGTTACGACAAAGCATGGGCAGGGTGCAGCCCAAAGTAAAAAAGGTGAAGGAATCGGGTGCGGAATTATTTTTGGGAACCATTATAAAACTTACAACACAATTATTTTTTTTTGTTTAGCATGGAACTGATTACAATGCCCGTTCCGACATTTGCACGCACGACAAAATATCTCCCGAAGTGTGCAAATCCATCGCGAACGACTTGATGAAGGGGATCAAGGATTCGCAGTACAATAATCGCGGAACGAATCGCGTCACTAACGGATACGCCAATGAAGGGAATGGCCAGGGTCTGCAATTGAATGGCCACTCTAGAATGGGAAAGGTTGATAGGGGTGCCGAGATTTTCGCCAAGAGAAGATTAAAATCCCAAGATTGGGTCGTGAATTCGGACATAACTAAAAGCGATTGCATCAATTACGCTTCAAGGAATATGCCTTCGGAATGTAACGGCAAGGAATCTCCCGTGAAAAAGAGCTGGATGCTCCAAGTTTATTTAAGTTCTTTTTTAAATATTTCTTCTTCATATCTTTATCAAACATTTCAAAAGTAATTTTAAAGAGATTTTCGTTTAAAAAAAATGATGTTCAGGAGTTTTCGAATATTACGTAAAGGTCGGCCCGGTCAATATTCCGAAATTTCGATCAGCTGTGTAGAATTATTTTATAGGCTGGGACGTGTAAAATACGGGCCGGTCAATCGCCGACCTATATATTGAGCAATTTTGAAATTTTATTAACAAAAACAATGAGATATATGATCTATGATAGCTACACTTTAGAAATATATGTTATAAGTATCGGTTTTCACAATTACGGCATTAAGAATAACCATAATGCGGACACGGCTTACACCAACGGAGAATCACGTGTCAATGGCGTAAGCACCGGGTATAACGGATATAACCACGTGACACCGCATCGCGAAAAATCAAATGGGTGGGCCTTTTTGAACCCTTCTTCCAGCGGTCATAAATACAATAATTACACGAAAAACTTCAACACCTTGCCAAAGACTTGGAATACCGTCAAAGGAAGAAACGGTATAATTTTCAAATTTCCTTTAAAAAAATCTCCAGTTTTCTAGTCAATATCGGCATTTATAACTTAAGCTGGATAGCCTGACCAGACATTTTTAAACCGAACCTGCCCCAAGCTGGATAGCCCGAGCCGACATTTTCAAACCGAACTTGCCCCAAGCTGGATAACCCGACCCCGCCTTTTCAAGCCGAACTCGCCCCGAACTGAAAAGCCCGGCGCGGCATTCTGAAGCCTAACTCAACAACTTGTACAAAATTAGTTTAAAGGCTGAACCGGGCTAAAAAAAAATTTGCTGTCAAAACTGTAGAAACTTTTTTTTAAATTTTTTGTTGGACGGTTCGGACCGGATCGCGTCAACCTATTTCCTCGCATGTTTTCTATCTATTGTATCATCTATCACTTGGACGGGGGGCTACCATCTTTATTTATTATTTTTATTTTAATTTTTTTTAAAAAATTCATAATTTCAAGAAATCGGTAATGGCGGGTACGAAATCAAAGATATATATCTACAATGAATAGCAATCACGTGGTCAAATTTTTTTTAGAATTTTTAAATTTATTTTTAAAAAAATCATACTGCCATTTTTATCTAAATTGAAAAAAAAAATAAGAAAAAATATCAAAGCATTTTCATTTTAGTGGTTAAATTATTGAATCGATTAATAAGAATTCATATAATTTAAATTTTTTATTTTTAAAATATATATATTATATATAATATCAGAAATTTATCTTATTTGTTTGTAATGATTAATTTATTTTTATGTTTCTATTCAAGGTTTGTTTTCACTTTTTTATATATATATATAAATAGATATTTTCATAATTATTTAAATAAAGTTTTATTTTTGGTAAATGTTTATGTTTTATGATATTCACTATTTATTTATTTTTTACTTGTCAAATTCTTATCAAATATTCGTAATATTGTAATCAGCATTTTCACCCAGGGTTTGCCCTACTTCTGTTTAGCGAGACAATACTCCCCGCTCTTAAGCTGCGTTTTTTAGTAAACGCGTTATCTTCAAAGCGTTGCGTTATTACAGCTGATCAATTCTTAAAAATTTAATTTAAGATAAGGTTAAAATAAGAATTATTTTATATAATATTTATGAAAAATCATATATCCTTTTAACATTCGCTAGTATTTTTTTATCGACGCATCGCAACATATGTTTTTCAAATTTTATTATAGCGTCATCATCATAACGCAAAATATTTTTATAAATTTACTACCTAATTTATTGGCTTAATTTTGTGATAACGCAACGCATAAACATAACGCGTTTACTATAAATGAGACCTTATACTCATATTAAAATTAAACACAAATTTTTATTGTCACCAATATAGTAAAATCAAAAATTATTCGCGACACAATCTAATCTTTTTTTTCTTTCTTTCACATATTACATAGCTTAAAATGATAAAATAATTTAATTTTTCTTGATTTAATTTCTTCAAAATTATCGATTGTCATTTTCAAAATAGAATAGCTAGATTACTCAAAATCTATTTTGAGTAAGAGTCAAGACCAAATATGTTTTTATCAGCTTCATTCTAGAGAGGTTTCTCTGAGCACTAGTTTATAGAGATCGGTATCATAACTGAAATTCCTGGGGCATAGAATAGATTAGATTCGGCAATATGAAAACAAGCTTATTTGAACATAATGTTATCATAAAACTTATTTTGGTCTATCATATTTTCTCAAATGAGAGTAAAATAAAGTTAACTTCTTTAAAAAGGTAGGAACTAATATATATCTGTCCACATTAGTGAATGGTAGTGAGAATACTTTGATGATCAAAACGGTCTTAGATTTAGTTTATCTCTCTATGATACATATAATAAAATATTCTAATTTTTTGGAAGGTTGGCATTTATATTATTTTCCACTTTTCTAAAGAGATTTTATTTCAAAAAATGGTCTCTCAGTTTCTAATTGATCAGCCAATTCTCAAGTTGTTATAAGTATAGTGTCGATTGTCAACCCCTAAATTTCTGCTAGGATAATTTTTTTTTAAGTGTAACACTGGTAGACAAATACTATTTTACTATTTTTGATAATTCTCCAAAATATTCCTTATTAAAATTCATCATAAAATATTCCTTATTAAAATTCATCATAAATAACATTAGGAGGGGGGTCATTTTTATTTTAGAATAAAATGCATTGTCATTGTAACATGATAGTAGCGGATGACCAGAAGTAAATATAACTTATAAATTAATTGAATAAAAACCCTTTTAATTGTTAAACCTTATAACAAACAGATTAAAGAAATAGTATCAAAATTTCATTTAAGTGTAGTCACTTAGAATAAAAGACTGAATTTGGTGTAAGTGCAAAAGAAAGAGCCGTATAATGAAAGCAGGAATGGCACATAATTGGTCAGGGATGTCGTTGGTTTTTTACAAAAGGAGGTACTAAAATATGTTATGTCTATTTTTTGCTCTATATAATTTATGAGGTACTTTGCCCCCATACACCCTTTAGCGGGCTTTCAGCACCCTTTTGCCTAGATATCTTTCAGGTTTTTGTTTCCATTCCACTATAATTAACAATAATATGCATATATTCGCTAATCCAAATAATATAACAAATTTAAAATCTAACCCAATGTTTTACTCTCTCTCATAGCTAATAAATTTTCTATTTTAGATTTTCTTATCCAAAAAAATTTGAGGAATATATTTTTACCAAGTTTGTCCTTTTATTTCGCATTTTTTCAGAAATAAATGGAGAATTAAAAAAAGGGATTAATTTAATAAACAATAAAAAAAAATTGGAAAATAAGAATAACTTTTTGTATATTCAAATTCTTACTTTTTTTCTTTTTTTTTCTTTTTTTTTCTTTCTTTCTATCAAGGCAAAAATGAATATATTATAATTTATAGAATAATATATTATGATTTTTCCCCATTTTGTTTTTGCTTAAGGCAGGAAATAATAAAAATAAATGATTAAGATTAATGCATAAGAAGCTATTTAAATAAAATATTTATGTATTTGTTTATATGGTTATAGAAATTTGGTTAATTTAAAAAAAATACCGTGCACTATTCCATTTTTCAAAAATATTGCTAATTTTAAAAAAGAGGGTGCTTACTAAAACTAGTTGCACCCCGGCGATATATAGATACCTATAACCACTAATAATGGTTGCTATCCCAGTAACGGCTAATTGTCGATTTTCAAAAACGGTTAACTCAATATTTCATCCAAAAAAATATTACGCAACCCTGAAGATTTTGCTCAGAGAAAGGACAAAGGTCTAGACATATATTATCGATATCTCGAGGCTCAGACAATATTTTTCTGGCTAAAATATTAAGATAGCTGTTTAAAAAATGGGCTCAAAACGAGCCGTTTAACAACATTACCAGTCAGCAGTGAATTGTCTGGGGGGGGGGGGCTACTTTCTCAAATTAAATTCAGAATACCCCCAGCTTGTTCTTATATGAAAAATATAAATAATTTAATTACATAGAATGTTATAGGGTTTTCATAAATTTCTGTTTTTAACACATCTTTAAAATTTAAACCATTTTATAGACCCGTTTTTAATTTTGATAAACTCATATTAATTTAAATTCCAACATGTAGCACAATAATTGTCTAAAAATAGACGTTTATGAAACTTTTATAAAGTGTTGTTAAAAGGCTCGTTTTTCAAACACGAGTATCCCAATAATTTAGTCAAAAATATTACCCATGTCTGGATAATTTGCTCATAGATGGTAGAAAGGTTTTGATATCTATTAACGAAATCTCGAGGCTTATTGGGTTAGTCATTTTTAAAATATCGAGCCTTTTAACAAGACTACTTCGTCACCTTATACTCTATATGTCAGAATGACATCAATCTTAATTTTCGCTTCTGAAGTTAACTATATTAAAATATTTATCGATTTTGAAATTTTGGGTAAAATGCAAGATGGTAAAATGCAAGATGGTAAAATGCAAGATGGTAAAATGCATGATTCGACCTCTGGATCTTTAAATACTATTGCGTTGCTCGATATTCTTAAAGATTACAAACCCGCAGGTTTTTTTTAAAAAATGCATATTTGATGTTTTAATAGGTATAAATAAGCATTTTAATTGTATGGAAATTATAAATAAATATTCGGAAAAAATTCTAAAGCCAGTTTTTGCTGACGACATATGGGACAAATTGAGTCAATTTTATGATCTAGATGCATGTGTAAATAGAATACTATCGTTATAAATCTATCTAAATCCTAGGATGAAAGAGCAAGAATGCCATTTTCACTTGAACCTAAAGATTTTTCACTACCCCAAGAAGATTATGGCTTATTAATAAAAAAGTATTCATCCAGACAAAATAGGAAAAGCACTCCAACTCTAAAAGTGGATGATAAAGGTTAATATTATTTATTGTAAAGTTAAAATTTATGTTGCTCTAATTACACAAAGATATTAATATTTCCATCAAAAGAAGAAAAACAGGAAGTGGTTATAAAAAATCATCAAAAAATGTTTGACTATTCATTTGCATTTAACTAATTAGATTATGTGATATAACGTTATTCTATGTATAGATTGTAGATGATAAAGATAAAAATTGTTTTGTTCAAATTACAATTTTTTGAAGTTCAATTCTATTTATATAATATAAATAATATTAAATATAGATTATGTTTATTTTTGAGAAAATAATACAATTTTTTTTAAAACATTACAAAAATAAACTTAATTTAGGGTCATTTTATTCATTTATATTAGGAAATTGAATTTTATCAAATTATTAATGTCTAGGCTAGCTAATTTAAAATTTTTTAACCAAAAACAGATTTGTTGTAATTGTCAAGCTTGACCCAAATTTTATTTACAAATTGCCCAGCTTTATATATAATTTTTAAATTTGCCTTAACTATGGGTCTGACTTTGAACAGGTATATACCTACAACCAATACACTAGAAAAATATATTTTCCATAACTGGATTAATATGAAATGCCAAAAGGACCTTTGTGTTCCACTTTCGATATAATAGCATTTCATCAAAATAATTATCATTTAACTAAATATGATTTTTAATTTTTTTTATATTTCTTTCTTTATTATTTAGTTTGCATTCCAATTTATAAATTTGTTTAAATAAAAATCAATAGAACATTACTGATGTTTCTGGCCTTAGTAAAAAATTCCTTGGTTTATTTAGGAGAATGAGAAATACATAAATTTATATATTGGTGGGAACATGAAATGATTTAAGAACTAAACTATATTAACAATGTTGGAACTAAAAGTGCCCCAATAAATTATAAAAAAGCTGTAATACATTGGATTATAAATAAAATTCATTTTAAAAGGTGTTGGCTACTTCAGAGTATTGACAAATGCTGATGAAAATTTTTAAAAAACCAACACCACCAATTGAGACTTTGGTGCAGATATAACTATAAGAATTGTGTCGATTGACTCCACACTTTATCTATTTACTGTTGTATATCGATAAAATATTCTTTGTCTTTCTATGTTTGAATTATGAGCTTGTATTCAAAGAAAACACAGCTATTATGTGCAAATTATAATGTTCAGGGATAATATTCTTTTTGGGGAAAAATGGATCATTATTTTACTCTGCATTGTTTGGCCACTTAGAACCATTTTTAATATGAAAGAAATGTCCCTATTATTATTATATATGTTCTTATTAGATAATAAAATAATCAATGCAATGTGTATTACATATATCAAATAGCTATCTTTCATTGCACATACCTCATTTTAATATTTTCGAATATTGAACCACATTTTGATTATTTTTGTTCTGGTTAAGCATTATTTCAGTGATTTAAAATAGCTCTTAACATTTTCATAACTGAGTTATTTTCTCAATTTTTATTTTTTCGTCAAATATAATGAATGGGAAAAGCTACAAATATTTGGATTTTAGGAATAATCTCAAAAAAAAGTTATATAATCTTCCCAGAATAATTTGCAAAATATAATTTTATTTTGAAAAAGAGGATATTTTTAAGTAACATGGAAATATATAATGGACATATTTTTAGACATATCAAAAGAAAACATTTACACAAAACCCAACTAACTTTTCAAACACAAAATCTTCTTCCAGACAATATTTTTATTTTACAATTCAAATCCAAGAATAATATGATTATTTCAAAAAAAAAAAATTAAAATAACTCATATATATTGACTGACGTTCATTTAAAAAAATATTATTTTTCCCAGATTTTTATTGAACAACTGCGTACAAACATGTTCTCTTTATATGAGGCTTCAGGTAACCCTATCATTAATCAAGATTAGTGGTAGTTTGCCATTTTGTATACATGAGAAAACATCAATAATTTAATCACATTAAAAAGTAACTGACTAAACTATACTTTTAAAAGTAGCTGTCTAGTTACATTTGGAGTCTGCTACTCCTTAAAGGTTGACACAAAAATTACTATAAGGTCAACTATTGTATTTAATAATATTATCAATATGGGATTTAAATAGCTAATATAAATAATACATTTTATTTACATAATTTTTAATTTGTATCTTTGAAAATTAATTTAATTACATTATTTTGAAAGACCAGTTACAGTTAAATTTCAAAAATAATTTATATAATCTTTTTTTATTTAACAAATTTTAATCAAAGGAATTTAAATGAAAATATGATTTAATTTAAGAAATAACACTAAAAAAATTATACCAATGTCAATCAATTAGGTATGATAGGCGGGGCTTATTGACCCAGGTATAGATATGCAGTTAGATCGACAGATTTCGATTGATAATATATGTCGAAGGTAAAATCTTTCTTCTGTTTGAATAATTTTAGAGCTTTTGATCCAAATGACCCATAGGTGCCTGAAACTATTGGAGCAAACAAAACATTATTAAGATGGCTATATTTATTTGTTTTTGTGTTTTCCGCTTTCGTGATGGAGTTGACAGAAAAAGATCTGGCAAAACGATCTATACACGTATAATCCCAAGCGAGAAGTAAGCCTTGGTTCCAAGGGACTAGCTTTATACTATCCGGTCAGGTTTGAATATCATGGCTGAGGCCAATGGGTTCCAGCGTTGAAGGAATATTTATGGATTTCAAGGTTCTATTGATTGAATTAGTCTGTTTGAAAAACGACGCGTGTGGTGTCCAAGACTATCGATGTGAGTTTCACATAGGACATATGATGTAGAGAGGTGAGTTCTTCATTGGTTAACAAGCCTAGATTAGAACTAGGTATAGTTTATAACCATTCATATCCGAGATGACATATGGGTGAAGCCGATATTATTTGATCTGGCAAAAGAGACGTATTGTTATTATTGGGGCTGGGTTTAAGTGGAAAAAGAATGACGGGGATTTTCTTTGATTTGAAGTGTAAGTATTCGACGCAATGCTGCATCAATGGTAATATCCAGTATCTTTGTCTTTTAGAAATAGGATATGAGCGGTTTGGGACATTTTTCTCCAGGGGTCTAGTGCTGTCACATGGTGTGGGTCGATAGTATCCTTGTGTAAATCGGAATTTAGCAACTGAAGATAAAAAGGCTGAAATGCACAGGGATATGCGGGATTGAATTCCTATACCCCCTAGCTTTGGTGGAAGTGCAGCTTCCATTCAGGAGGATGATGAGAATTTGATGTTTAAAATAGATTCAAGTAAATGGACTTTGACATCTAATAATGTTTCTGGGGACGTTAAAATTGTCGATGAACGGAATGCATGTAAAATCTTTGTAATGGATAGAAAATTTTGAAGTAAATATTCTATAAAATTTGGCTAGGAATTTATCTATAAAATGAAATATAGTATTTTCTCATCCAATGGGTGAACCAAGTGGGTAAATCTAGTTTTGTCCACTATAATAAAATTTTCGGGTGGGCAGTAAAATTCAAAGGGCTAATAAAACGTAGATTGATTAGTTTTACTATATATACTTTTATTCATAACAAATGACTAATAAAAGGCTTCGTCTGGTGAATGTTTCAGCTGGTGGTATTAAAATTATATTTTACTCAAGCAAGGAATTTTTTCTAACAGTTGGCAGTCAGTATAGTAGTAAAATCTTAACAATAATCAACTAATATTGTTTTAGTCAAGTTTATCAAAGAATGGTTGTAACAAGTAATATACATGTAACTACATTTTATATATACTTATTAATTAAATTGGTGTTCTAATATATATTATTGTAGAATGCAATCTAAAATAATTTAATGGGAATACATTATATTTCCCCTCTATTAATTATTTATTGGATATTATAATTTTTATTAAAAACAATAATTTTCTAGTTCTAGCTAATTCAAATTTTTTTTAAAAATCTTTTGTATATTATTAATAACTGTCATCTTTCTGTGAGTTAGTAAGAATGTTTCAATATACATCTGTGGATCATCTCATATTGACGTTTTACCATTTTTTTGGTTTTTAATATATAGTAACATGAGATTTTCCCTTTTTATAGATGAATTGCACTCCTTAATTAAAATTTAGAATTTTCTTGAATCCATTATTTGTACTTTTCATTTTTTTTAAATATTTAACATTATCATTTTGAATTTTCATTCATTAAAATTATTTATATTAATTTTTTCATCATCCCATGGAGATTTCTTCAATATTAATAATTCCAAGTTGGGTATATTTAAGAAATCTCCTTGATCCCAATTTTATTTAAATTTTCAAACTTTATATTTTTTTTATCACAAAATTTTTCTAAATATTTTATATCATTTTATACTTTAAAATAATATTTGATCACTGTTATAATATATTTTATAAAAATTGCAATTTTGTGCTACCTTATTTTTGTCTATTGAGCAAGTAAGCAATAGAGATAAAATATTTTCATAATCGTATTGATAAGGGATATAATATTTTCATAGGTATCAACAAAGAATAAAAATATTTTTTAATTGTGTAATAATTAGACAATGATTAATATCATACAAATTTGAGATATATATTTTACATATTAACACAATTATTCATCATCAAAATATTTATAACTCTTCTAATTTCTTTTCTTCAATTAATTCATCATCCAAAATTTGTTCAGAAGAACGGGAAGATTGAGTATCAGAAATTAATATTATATCATCTGAAATACCATTTATATTTTATTAATTTTTTATTTTATAACCTGCAATAATGGATGTAAGGGTAATTGTATTTCCATTAGTATCCACTATATCTTTATAACTTAAATAACCTTGAATATGCATTCTTTGTCTATATACTATTAAATTAAATGCAAAATTCATTTTAATTTACCCTTTTTTATAATATTTTTCTAAAATATCTTTGAGAAATGGTTTAAAAGCATATATTCGATGCCATTGGGATTTTTGATCCCATATTCCTTAATTAAGCAAAAATGTAACGAATTATAAAAATATAAATACCTTCAGGGTTTTTAAAGCGTGATTGCGTACATAACGAAAAAACTGCAAATGGTTTTTCAGGTGGCCCTCTTATTTCTACATTTTTTCCAGTTCTTCCTAGTAGTATTACATTATTAAAGGCTAAATTAGTAATAACAATTAATTATTTAATTATATTTATAATACATTTCTCAAAATTTCGGGAAGAAGGATGAAACTTTCGGATTGAGTTGAGAAACATAATTAAGAAATTACAGGTTTGCTTGACAATATGTTATGACTGACATTGTTCATGCTTATTTTTTTTTAAATTTTAAAAATTTTATTTTGATAATATTGAAATTGGTATAATTTAAAAAAAATGATAAAACACTAAAATATTAAAACAACTATATGAAAATATGTAAAAATATATAAAATTACTAAATAAAAGTATATATTATTAGTATCGAAGGCTTTAAAAAGAGCTTAATTTAATAATGAAAATGTACCTAAAAACAAGTTTATTTGTGTTTAAAAATTTCCAATTAAAGTTTGTCTAAGAAATAAGTATTCGTGATATTCGTTTGTTAATCTAAAAAAATTTCGTGATAAACTTTTTAAAAAAATAGTGTGATGAATTGCCGTTATTGAAATGACTATTGGCTGAAATATAAAGTTATTTAATTTTAAATATTTATTAATTTTTTATTCCCAACAAGTAAGAAAGTTTGTATTAGTTGATGAAGGAAAGGATGATATACAGGTTGCATCCCAAATAAGGGATTTCCCATTGGATGTTCAGGTTAAGCCATCAACTCTGAGGCCGTCCTGTAATGAGAGGTTGGTAAAGGATATTGCGTATTTTAGCATTATTAAAAGCGCTATGTATGATTTTATTAATTGCTTTATGTCTGAGATAGCGACCTTGGCTGTGGGTGCAGTTTAGACCGTGTCTGGCGTTAGGTTGAACGGGTAGGCTTCATTAGTGGCAAGAGTGTGATTGTGTAAACGATCATCCAAGTCTAAAGCCTATAGTAACTCTCAGTTGACTCAATTGCTGCTGATATAAATCATCATGGGGAGTTATGAATGATAAAATCGCAGAATTGAGTGATAGGCGATTTGATATAAATAGAGAAAGGGAAAGTAGTACTAAGGAAATCAAGTCAATATCCTAGTTTAGCGCGTAATTGGGCTAGGTACCAATTAAAGTCTGTTAATGAAAGGAAGAGGATCCTTTCTATAAAGGTCTTTAAGTGTTTTATTTTATATTTGATATGTTAATTTTAATATATAAACTATATTAATAAAAATTTACAAATAAAAAAAAGAAAAAGAAATGTTGTTATATTATTAAGAAAGGAGGTAAGTGAGTTAAAAAAAATTATTGAAATTATGAGATTTTAAAAATGTTTGGAAGTAAGAAGGTCTATAGCCATCCGGGCCAGTAAATTCACTTATTGTATCGCAAATATCTTGGTTTTTAATTATGAATGGGGGGATATTGATTGATAGAAATGCATACTTTTAAAACAGTTTTTAAGTTATTTTAGTTTTCTAAATAAATGCTAAGTTTTATTATTTTAAATTCGCAGTTTTACTACTTTACCCTTTACATTCAATAAACTACATCAGATACCAAGCGAAGCACAAGGATTTTATGCTAGTTTTTATCAAACTACGTGGTTTGATTAGGACGAAACATCAATGATAAGAGCTAGTGCTTTCATTACATTGTTAAATTAGTGTACATTTTCAGAAATTAAAATTGTAATGAATGAAATCATTGCAAAATAAAATTAATAACCTATAATAAAAAACTTATATTTAAAATTAATAACCTATAATAAAAAACTTATATTTAAAAATAATATAATAACCTATAATAAAAAACTTATATTTAAAATTAAATACGTTTAAACAATAAATAAATGAATACCAGAAATGGTATATTAGTCAAAGTATAAAACCTCTATTATTTTGATATGAAATATTACTGAATTATTTGCATGAGAAAAATATATAAAAATCTTGTTTATACTTATTCTTCTAAAATATTTTATGTGCTTATATTTTAATTAAATAATTTCTTATATCAGATGCATAATTTCCAAAGAGGTGATTTATTTTATTATATATAAAAGAAATTCTAATATCATTTTTTAGATTTTACCATTGAGTTTTACTTGATTTTAAAAGAATAGTTTATAATATTCAAAGCTTTGAGAAAGAAATTTATTTCAAATTTATTTGATAATTATTAAGATGAAAAATTGAGGATGATAAATTAATTTAATAAAATATATAGTATAATCATTATAAAAATAAAAAATAAAACTAACAATTTTAAAAAGGAGGAAAAAGTCAAAATATAAAGTAGTAATTATACAACTATTTTTCTTATCTTTATTACAGATTTCACTATTTATACTAACTATAATTAAAATTTACATACTGCCAATAATAATTTTAAATAATTGTCCTTCTATATTGTAATAAATTAATAAAATATTATTTATAGATATTATATATAAAAATAGAATAGTATATTCGAAAATCAATTAATATATAAATTTGATGTTTGAAATAAATTGAAATATAAAGTAGTCGTATTGTTTAGAAATTAGTAGTTGGTATTACTACAAATGGCGACGATAAATGGAGAAAATAATTCCTTAAATGGAGATAATAATTCCTTAAATGGAGAAAATAATTAATTAAATGGAGATACAAAAAATAAAATAGCGGATTTATCTACGATTAAATTTGATAAATTCCAGTTATACTTCAATCTATAGATACTTTTCTCAATGGGAAGCCAGTTTTCGGTTAAAAAACGTAGCCCATTTGAATGTCAATATAAAGATATATTTTTAACATTTTTTGGCAATAGTTGGTTTAAGCGTTTTTGTTATCCTGATTCGATTGAAACTTTATCTTTTAAGGAAATTAAGTCAATATGTTTTAAACTTTAAACCGACGTCTTTGCTTCTAGATTTGATTTCGTTAGATTACGGAGAATAATTGAAACCATAACTGAATTTGCAGATAAAATTAGAACAATTGGCAAGCGTTATCATTATCTTAATGATATTGACGAGCATTTACGTGATCAGTTTATGGTTGGCTAGGAAATACCGGGATTGGAAAGAGATCTTAGAGCTCTATATCCCGACGGTCTTGATAGAGATAATAATGTATTGAATTTTCAATTTATTCTTGATCTGTCATTAGTTTCTGAGCAAGAAGATAAAAAAATGGCAAATAAAAATATGCCTGTTGTTAATAAGATAAATAATAATAACAAAAGAAATGATAATAATTATAAAAATCCAATTAAAACGACGGCTACATTTGATAAAGGCTATAATAAAGTCAGGTATAATAATACATTTGATAAAGAGAATAATAAATATAATAATGATAAAGATTATAATAAACTTAAATGTTATAAATGTGGTTTTATTCATAACCGAGAAGTGAGATGTCCAGCTACAAATGCAGCATCTAATAAATGGCTGTAAATCAAAGAATTCAAATTTATAAGAGTGTCATCAAGTGATTCTATTCATTATATTTGGAAGATTCAACAAAATCGAGATAATCGAGCAAAACTAACTGCAGAGATAAATGGGTTAGATGTTGAATTTGATTTTTACACTGGTGCACAAGCGTCATTGATAGGAATTGATATATGGACAAGTATTGGATGACCAAAAATTAGGCCAACCAGTCCATTGACTGCATATGGTGATCATCCGTTAGACGTTAAGGGCGAGACCCAAGTAAATGTTAGGATTGGATCACAAACAAGCTATCAGTTGTAATAATGAATACAACTGGGGTGCCACTTTTCGGTTTACCATGGACTATAGCATTCAATTTAGAAATGCCTCGTCAGGTTATGATTAAACAAGTACGCAATTTGGTCAAAAATATTGAAAAAGAAAAATGTTGCATAACACTAGATTCTAGAATTCAAGATTTGATTAATAAACACCAAGAAATTTCGGAAGAGAATCAAGATTCTAAACATGCTTTGGATATTCGAAGAATTAATTTGGATGATATGCAATTGTCAGAAAATACTCTATGAAAAGAGTCAAAGCAAGATTTAATATTAAAAAAAGTAGCAATACATATTCAGCATGGCGAAACTTTGATCGTCATAAGGATAAAGAAATAGTTAATTTTTATAATCAACGGGAAGAGATTTCTGTCGATCGTGATATTATACTATAGAATGGAATGGGCGATTGGTTATTCCTAATAAATTAAGAAATGCAGTGTTAGGAATGATTCACTTGGGACATCCTGAGGAAAATGTAATGAAATCTATTTTTAGATTGAATTGTTGGTGGCCCAGATGTGATGTTGATATAGAAGATTTTATCAAAATATGTTCTGGATTCCAGAAAAATAGACCTATTATTTAAGAAGTACCTCTATATTGGACTGTTGGGAAGGAATCTTGGGAGCGAATCCATATTGATTTTGCTGAACCAATAGATTCCCGATATTAGCTAATTGGTGTCGATTCCTACTCCAAATGGTTATAAGCTGATCTAATGCAGAATACCTCTGCTGATGCTATGATAAAACGACTAAAAAAATGGTTTGCTAGGTTTGGAATACCCAAGTACATTTTGTCAGACAATGGACCACAATTCTTATCTAGGGAATTCCGTAGGTATTGTGATTTAAATAACATACGTCATATATGTTCGGCACCCTATCATCCAAAAACTAATGGATTAGCTGAACGTACAATGCGAACTTTGAAAGGTCGGTATTAGACGAGGGATTCATTTAGTGATCCTGAAGAAGCTATGACACAGGTTATAACAACCTACCGATTGGGAGAGCATAGCTCCACAGGGAGATCTCTTGCTAAAATTATGTTTGGGAGGCAACTGAAAACAAGTCTGTATTGGATCCGACCAAATGCCGAACAAGAAATAGTAAAGGCCAATGATAGACAAAGTCTTCATCATGATTTACATTCAAAGGAAAGACAATTTGAAATCTCACAACCTATATGGTTAAATAATGAAAATACCAATGGTTGGAGAGAGGGAGTAATTAAAGAAAGAATAAGACTATATTCTTATATTGTTGAATCTTCCGGGAAAACATTATGGAAGTATGCAGATCAGTTAAGAAATCGTTTAGTTATCACTAATCATGAAAGTTTTGGAAGTTACAGAAATGGTTGTGCCAGTGAATGAAGCAAATGCAAACATAAATACCACATTACGTTGTTCATCAAGTAACCGTATACCTACAAAGAGGTTTATTGAATAAATCTAACTTTAAAATGTTTGAAGGAAATGTAATAAATTAATAAAATATTATTTATAGATATTATATAAAAATAGAATAGAATATTCGAAAATCAATTAATATATAAATTTGATGTTTGAAATAAATTGAAATATAAATTAGAAGCTGTATTGTTTATAAATTAGTATTTGGTAACTGCATATATGATTATGATCCACATATTTTAATTACCTTTACAATTTTGATTTCAAATTATTAATTTTATGATTATAATCCAAACATTTTAATTACCTTTACAATTTTGATATTCAAATTAATAATCTTTTCTTTCAATGCACATCTTTGACATAGTTAAAAATAAATTATATATAAATAATAGATTTCGTCAATGAATATAATAATAGAGTTTTTATTCTTAATATTCACCATATAGAAATTTCATGTACTCATAAAATAGATTTTATATTACTCGCAATAAATAAGCATATTATAATTCCCAAAACTCAGAGTATTTTAATAAAAACGTAATAAATAATATTTAATCACAACATAATATGAAATACTACTTTTATATCAAAAAATCGAGAATGTGAAAGAATTCATTTTTAGAAGATTTTTTATAATTATTTCCCCTAATTTTAGATGAATTCAATATTATGGTACATTGTTTAACATTAATTGAATTTGCTGATTTATTTTACCCCTTTAAATAAAATTTTATAATACAGCAGAGAATTATTTAGAAATAATTTTAATTTCAAAAATAAGTACGATTATATGCTATATATAGATTTGGTCGATGTTTAGTTATATTTATATATTATAATCGATCTATAATAAAAGTTTTAAATAGACTTTTATAGAAATATATATTTTTTTTCATCCAAAAATTTTGTTGAATACTCTTTAAAAAATTATTCTACTCTAAAGCTAGTTCTCCTTGATACCTTTCACATACTCCCCTTAAAAAATTGGAAGCAAACTCTAACACTCACACCCCCTCACCTAGCACATTTAGATGTTGCACTGATATATCATTAGAATTTTACTACGTAAAATTTAGACTGCTGCCATTTTACCGCTTACAGTCATTTCTATTTTTTTTTCTAGCTTATAAGACATAACAATTTAATAAAAAGAGCAAATATTTAGATTATTATATCTCCCCCAAATATTATTGACAAAGAAAGAAAATGAAATTTAGGTTCTTTATATTTTTTATGAAACTAAATGTTTAGCTTATATCCTGATATATAAAACAATTGGTAATCTTAAGTCTTATTCAAACTTGGGTAATAATTCTTTATATGTTTTGCATTTTATACAAAAATATAACATTCTAAAATTGATAATTAAATAAGTTATTATAAACAATAATTATTTTTTATGACTACTGGGATAAATATATAATAACATATAAATTTTTAAACACTATCGCTCACTTTAGGCAGGTATATGACCATGTGCTAGATAAGATTAAGAACTAGTGTTGTTAAACGGCTCTGTTTTTAAAAACGGCTGTAACAATATGTTAGCCAAAATATATTACGCAACCTTGAAGATTTTGTTGAGAGATGGCTGAATGATTTGAACAACTATTATCGAAATCTCGAGGCTTGTGTAATATTATTTTGGCTAAATTAATTTTAAATTGGCTAAATAGAGCCGTTTAACAACACTAATAAGAACCACAAAAAGAGTTGGGCAAAGACAGCGTCTACATGACAGGATTTTTACTGGATGCAAACCTCCTTCAAAAATCTTTTCCTACTCCCCTAAAAAATCACCGCCCTCGGCTTCGGTGTCTCTTTATCATTATTTTAACCTATTTATTTATTGATACTCTTTTCAAAGAATTTCTAAAGGATAACTTAAATTAATCTATCTCTACTACTAACTATCGATATTTTGTGAATATAAAGAATTAATTTTTTAGATAATAAATTCAATTAAAACCTCCATTATTTACAATGAATTAATTATTATGGCATTATGAGCTTGCTAAAATATCTAAATCTTTTAAATTACATTTAAAAGGATAGTATATTTGGAAAACAATGTGTATGATTGTTTGCAATATTTAGATTTGGTCGATAAATTGTATTATAATAATACTATAATAAAAGTATTAATTTTTTCAGCAAAAAATTTTTTCCTATTTCATCTCAAAATTTAATAGATAACCCCCCCCCCCTCCCCCAAAAAATTTTTTTTTTATCCTACCCCCATTAGCGCAGCTTACCCCATACCCCCTCAAAAAAATAGGATGCAAACTGTACCTACCCCTCCCGTTCATGTAGACGCTGGGCAAAGAAAAGCATCAGATATATTATATCATTCATTCGTCTGACGAATGTATGAGATTTTTTCAAAAATTTTAGGCCAAGATATTCAAATACATAATTTACAAAAAGACATACCTTTTCGCTATGAAAAAATAGGCGATGCCCTGATATTTAATGGGAATTATCTTAACAATACATTTTGGAAGAGTAGGGATGGTAATCAAATTTTTTTAAAACTTGTATAATAAATTAGACTTAAAAGAAATATTCTCTGAACTATGCGTAATTTTTAAAGTAAATAAAATTTTCAAAGGGAAAAATATTTTATTAAACGATTACAGAACTCCTACAATAAACTTGATATATGGAAATGATACAATTGTTAACCACATTGAAAATGGAGTTAAGTTAGTTTTTAAAATATTTGTTATAATTCTAATTTCTTTGCAATTTTATATATATATATACACTTCTTTTTTTGTAAAAATATATATAACTTTTTTTTAAATTTAAATGAATGTAAGTTAATTATATGATTAATATATAAACATAACAAAACCATAAATGGTAATTTTAAAAAATTATAAAAATTTTTTTGAAATTAATTAGCTGTCCCAAAATTTCTTTATGGGGAGTGGATGGTGGATGTTGTAATTTTTTTTTGTGATTTTGTCCCCATAACTTGTTTTAATAGTTCTACTGCCTGATCTCCCTTTTTTATGTTTCCTTTTTACATTCTGTTAATATTATTACTGAACAATTAATAGCAGTAATTCTAAATTATGCCAATATTTTATGCTTTATTAATGTCCTATTGTAAGCAGTATAGTAGCCATTAAATGGAAAAATATTAGTAACAAAATTTTGGTCAACCCTACAATAAAAAGTGACTGAAAGCTTTATTCTAAAAATTTTATCAATGTTAATTGCTTAATTGTAAATTGATTTGATTGTTTGTCAGTAGGGAAAATTGGCATCATACTAGAATGGAAAATATATTTTAAAAAATTATCTGGTGTGATCTAATTTAATGCCTGACTATACTTTTAATTCCTCAATCGAACATATGAACATGAATGAGCCTTAAACAAAATTCACATGAAGTATACCAATCATTTGAAAATGTTTATTCTGAAAGTTATACCAAACCCTAAAGCAGGACTTTGTTAGTACATTTTATTGTTTTATTTTGTTTAATTGATAGTTTAAAGGGGGAGAAAAAAAAATATTTTTAGAAAATTAGTCAAAATTAGCATCATGCCAGTAGTTATATAGAAATTATAAATTTCTAGTTTACATTAATATTCAGTAGTAGTAGTGTTATTAAACACTTGTTTTGAGCCCATTTTTAAAAATTGCTAACTCAATATTTCACCCAGAAAAATATTACTCAAGCTTGAAGTTTTTGTCATCGAATATTCAAATCATTGTGTTTCAAGGAAAATATTTGAATTTTCAAAGATTTCCCTAACATTTTTAATATCATTGTTTTACTCTTTTAAAAATATTTTCATTATACCTCACCCCCCTATCAGTTATAGATTTGATCTCACAAAAAATATGTTCAGTTCAGGAAATGTTAACGAAAGAATTAGAATGGGTAAATTAAATAGGCCAAATGAAGTTGTAGTAGACTTATATGCAGGTTATTAAAAATCAGATTTTTTTACTACTATTTGTTATCAATTACACAATTAAGGTATTGGTTATTTTACTTTGCCCATTTTGAAAAATAAAAATTCAATGGTTGCTTTGGTACATGCTTGCGATTGGAATCCTGATGCTATTAAGTACTTGAGGCAAAATTTAGTACTCAATCATATAGCCCCAGATAGATGTAAGATATATGAAGGAGACAATAGAGAGGTATACAAGTTTACCTTTCGAGCTGTTAAAAGATACTTTTTAAATGGGTCTAAATAAAGGTGCAATTGTACAAATGTATCTTTATAAAAGTGCATCTAGATACAGATATCACATTTTTATATCTAGATAATTTAACAACTCTGTAAAATATAAGAAAATGTTATAATTCCTAAATATTTTAATAATCTATTATTTATAGCTGTAATTATATTTTGGTATTTTAAGATCACGATAAAATGATACCAAATGATTCTAAGGCTGCATTCATAGTGGAGACGGATACATTTTTTACATCCATTCCGTCAAAAGTCAATCTCATTAAAAATGATATTATGTTCACAGTGCGTCCGTTTCGATACCTTCCATCTTTTAAAAACGGATCCGGCAAGTTTTGAAGTCAAAACATTTTGACTTTTTGATCTGGCAAAATCATATAACATTTTCTAAAAAGAAAAATTAATATTATGAATTTATTAGATAGTGTAAGAGAATATAAATATATATATGATAAAATGGATGATGATTATGTAGATTCAAACAATAAAGCACAATTTTTGAGTAATCTATGTTTGCAGTTTGGTCAAACAGGTATTAAAACCTTATTAATATAACATTATAATACATGATATATATTTATAATACAATGTATTAAAATTAATTCAAATTTTTGATTTAAATAAGTGAGAATTATCATATAGAATTTTGTGAATTTATTTTTAATAGCATTTTATCATATTCTACTATTCCATTTGTCTCCTCCTTTTCCATCTTTCTACTCCTTGGTTTAATCGTAAAAAAATATAATAGAGGTAAATGAATGATCATATTGTTTGTTCAATTATTGAGTGTGTTCAATTTAATTAAAAAATTAAGTTTGCTCCATTGAAAGATATTGAATATATCTGTAAAAAACCAAATTTCAGAAAAAATATTAAGCTTAATTTACTTCTAATCTAAATATCTATATGAGATATAACATAACAATATATAGCATTAATATTTTTAGGGTGATTTTTATTTAAAAAAATCAATAAAGAGGTGACAAATGGAATAGTAAAAAAATGATTTATTTTAAAAAAATCTATATGTTATATTTATAATGTTTTAATACATGATCGACCAAAGTGCAAACCTATATTACTCCAAAATTGTGCTTTCTTGTGTGAATCTTTACAATCATCATCTATTTTAATCATATATATATATTTACATTCTCTTACACTATCTATTAAATTAATTATATTAATTTTCCTTTTTAGAAAATGTTACATGATTTTGCCGGGTCAAAAAGTCAAAATGTTTTGACTTCTAAACTTGCCGAACCCGTTGTTAAAAGATGGAAGGTATCGGAACTGACTCACTATCAACATTTATATCATTTTTTAATGAGATTGACTTTTGACTGAACAGATGTAAAAAAAAAGAACCGTCTCCACTATGAATGCAACCTTAAAGAGGGACAAATTTTTTTATTTTTAAAATTAGAATATTTAGCGTCCGTAACTAGCGGAAGTAGGGTGAGAAAATTACTGCACGTCGAATAATTATGTTTAAAAATATTGGCTTGAACTGCTATCAAAATATTTAGTCCTTTCCATATCAATATCCATTTTATACAGATTTGTCCCTTGGGTGTAGCCGACAGAGTCATATTGGGTTTGATACCCTCGTCAAGTAAATCTTGGTTAACGGCATTTAAAGCCCTAAAATTTGACGACGAACCGACGAAACCTCTATATCTACGCGACAAAATAATGAACGTCCATATGAATTGCGATTTCCTAGCCCTCGGTAACGACATTTTCCGTAATTTTGTATCGAGGCGTGGCGATCGTTTCGATGAGAAAAATAATGACGATTCGCGAATCTCGCGAAATTTTGACAATAAATCTGAAACTGGCGTTCATTTGATATACCCTTCACGCGATTTTTTATTAGCGTCTATCCTGCGAAAATTTTTAGTAGACCTGAAAAAGGGGCCAATATCGGGGACGGGAGGTGACCACGAGCTTACGACGGACGCCGACGATTTACTCGACATTAGTCAGACCTCGATTTTTAGATTATTATCTTCCAACACCACGAGAAACGGCGATATTGTAATTGACGAAATCTCACTAGGTGAGCTCTCCAAATTATTTTATTTATTTATTGCATTAATATCCTATTTTTAAAACGCCACCATGTTATTTTAAAACATTTGTATTACTTGTTAGAGGCAAAGGACTCGAACGAAATCTTTGTAATATTTGGTTTCCGAACTTTTCTAAGGCCGTTTCAAGAATTAGTTATTAATGAAATACAGATTATAATATTTTTTTGAGGGATGACAGGTATGAATGAACGATTTTAAAATTTGTTTAATTTTAAATGTAAAATTATTTTTTAGCGCGGCCCCCAAAAATACATTGTATGTTGACCGGTTTGATCCGGAATTTTTTATAATCATAAATTTGCATCATTATCCAAAAGTTTAATGAAATTAGGGTCGAAACCGAATAATATTTTGCACAATTTACCCTGTCAGAAATTTTTTTTGCCCAAGTTGCGCTGGCAAAGCTTCCGATCACGCAGATCCTTGAAATGTGCTGCTTTTTATGGACCAATCCGATATCGAGTTGACATCGACCGAACACCGAACTCTTTTTTTTTAAAATAACATCAACTCATTTTTTTTCTTCTTTACTCTCCATTTTGATACGTTTTAATTTTTAAGAAAAATCGGTAATATCCATTCCTATTTACGTAAGGTATCAAAAAGCGCTTATATTTATTTTTCAATCGTTTTGCCAGATGATTCCAAAAAGATGTTTTTCCGGGATTGTTGGGTTCATTCTGAATTAGATCGTAAACATTTATCCTTAGTATCTTCTGAAGAGTTCGTTGATTTGATGAGTTCAGGTTTCATTTTTTTTATTTATAATTTTAAATGTTAAGATTCACAATTTATTTACCCCATATTCGTTGTCAATTTGAGGTGAAGTGGTGTTTTAAAAATTGCAAATTTTTTTTGTTAATAATTAAAATGTTTTGAATAATCTTTTGTGAATTATAATATTAATAAATCTTATTCCTATTCCTATATGCGCACATGTCGCCTTCAAATCAATAAATATGACAATCTTCTCGATTATTTTTTTTTTATGGAGTATTAAAAATGACATCGGCTTTAAAAAACATTTCGAAAACTTCGGTTCCCGGCCCGGGCGCAATCCCAAACCCGACCCGAATTTTATTGCCCCGTTCTCGAGTCGGGTTTCGGGCCGAAGTGACTTCTAATTATAATTAACATATCTTTTAAGAATCTTAATTGCGATTTATTTGACGAGGTTCCTTATCCGCGCCGTATAATCCAGGGAACACCTGTTTAAAAAAATTGTTATCATAAGGGAGGGGATGGGAGGTGATTTATTTATCATTTTTCTTTCAAATAATAAAATTTGTTAATAGATTCATCGGAAGATTTTGGTTCCAAGATCAAGAGACTCCCAGGTTTGAATAAAAGATGGAACACTTTCTTGAGATACCTTTGGTTATTGACTGTCATGTCGTCGCTACATTCCCAATTGCTTGAGGCCCTGGATTTTCATCGTTTAGCAGATTACAAAGAAGTCAAATTAATTTTGCAGGACTTGAATAAGGTTAAAAGTTACGGGCCCAAGATAATCCATTACGTCTTGGATGTCGTAGTTCGATTCACATTTGAGAAAAATTCTTAACATTTTACATTATTTTATTTTTTTTCTACGAGGGGAGATTATGTGAAATAAATTGTAGAATTTGCAAAAACAAAGCAATTTATTTATAATATAAATTATATATTACATAAAAAGATATATATATGTGTAATATTATGGCAATTTGGTGTAGTAATATATTTCATTAAATTTATTGAATAAGGTCAAAAATAATAAAAATGCAGCGTATCTAATTAGTAGTCAAATATACTTAATAATTGTACTTATTAGCATTGGTTCAAATCGATAATTCCTTATTCGCAAGAATAAAATGAATATTATTCGACTCGAAAATTAAATTATTTAAAAAAAAAAAATTAAAATTTCCGCAGTTAACGAAAAAATTGGATACTTTTTTTTTTCATTATTCGTTTTAAAGTGAACATTTAGGTATATAAAACCATATCAGAATTGATTAAATCTAAATACAGTGTAGAAGATAATTGCTCTTAAAATAAAGATTCATGTTTTTTTTTTTTTACAAGGAGTCGTTTATAGAAGAAATTATAAATGAACTAATTTAGATCTATTTTAAGATTTTTGTTTTATAAAAAATTAAATTAATACTATTTTATTTTAAAAAATATAATATCAAAATATGATGCACGCTAATGATGTTTTAATTTTAAAAATAATTAATACTAAATATGCTATTTGAATCTAGTTAAGTATTAGAATATTACTCGTCGAAGAAATCTCAACATCTTTTACCCCCCTATTCCAATTGGGTAATGGTTAAAAATCTGATAGGCTCAAATCTATGACGCGGGATTATGAACATTTGAAATGCGCTTTATGGGTTGAGCTATATTTTCAACAACAATAACCCGTGAATGAGATGGTAGTTCTTTCCTAAAATTAGACTTCGCTGTTTATTTTTAGCCCGCCTTTAAAATAGAAGAGATTGTGTCCAACTATATTCCCAATCCAATATTTAAACTTCTTTTGGCCAGTTTTTCCTCTGATTTAATAATTAAGTTTTTACAATCGGGTGCCCTTCCTGACATCAACCCCTTTTAAGTGGGTTTTTACACATCGTCGAGGAGACGGTTATCCTATTCCTGGCCCAGACCTAGTGTTGTTAAACGGCTCGTTTTGAGCCGATTTTTAAAAACGGCTAACTCAATATTTTAGCCAGAAAAAATTATTTAAGACTCGAGATTTCGCTAAGAGATGTCCAAACCTTTGTTCCTTCTACAAACAAAATCTTCAGGCTTGCGTAATACTATCCTGGATGAAATACTGAGTTAGCCGTTTTTAAAAATCGGCTCGAAACGAGCCATTTAACAACACTACCCAGACCACAGGGAACAATCCAATAATTAAACAATTTAACTATCATTTATTTATTGTTTCAAACCGATTATTTTCGAATTTAAGGTATTATAATGTATATATATTTGTTTGTTTCAAAATATATTATAAATATTAACATTTGAAAAACATAATAAATATATTTTTATATAAACTATATTAAATATATATATATATAGTATTAAGATTCTTTGTCGAAAAATCAATTGGAAATGGAATGTTTTACACTAAATGCCCGATAAATATATTCTATAAAATAAAACATAAAACGTGTTTATATATATATATATTTGTTTTAATCACATAACGCCATTTTTAGAACACTTAAGTTTTTTAAAAAAAATACACTATAATATATATGTGATTTAATTAAAAGCTATATTGTTAGTTTTAGTTCGAAAATAAATTAAATTTTATCTGCACTTTTAATATATCCCAATTTTCTAATTTCACTTTATAATTATAGGGGATATCAACGATTAAAAATATTTGATTCCTAATTTTTTTAGTCATAATTTGCTATTCATTCGGGTTAAAAGATTATAAAATGTGTCAAATATCCCCCCAATCAAAAAAAATCTCATCGAATAAGTCAGCCACGTAGATGAATAAGGCAAATGTTCATATTACCAAATTTAGTTCAATGTAAGAAGAACATATATCAGCGATATGAGAGATCATTCAATCGTCGAGTCATTTTAAAAAAAAATTTTTGTTGCATAAAATTAGTTTCTTCCTTCCCTCCAAAAAAAAATGTTAGAAAAAAAAGGATAGAAACAATAAGAGATTCATATTTTTGAAGAAGGGAACAAAAAAAATCCCTGAGTAAATGAATGGATAAACATATGTTAGTTATCATCTCTCCCCGGCCCCAGCTTTCTATAACATATAAAGGCTCATTTGTTTTCTTTGAATCTCCAAAATTTGATGGTTTGATCGCTTTTTATTTTATTTTATTTTTTTAAATATATATATAAAAATATTTATAAATTGGATCGGGATATGAAATCCAATTGGGATTCATGACACAAAATTTTTATTGAGGCCGATTTACGTTCAAAATGTGTTCCAGCATGTCTAGACTAGTGAAGGCTAACGTTCCGGTCCTATCGGTCTTAGACCGGGATAGGACCGATCTTTTTTGAGGACCGTGGTCTGGACCGGTCTTTTTATTTTTTACGTCACTACTCTAGACTAATTTCTATAAAATTTGGATAATTAATGTTGTTTAAATAACTCGATTTAAGCCCATATTTTTAAAAAGGTTTGCCCTATGCCTCGAGATTTCGCTAATAGATGTCTAAAAAAAACCCTTGTTCCATCTTTTAGCAAAATCTTCAGGTCCGCGTTACATTTTTCGGGATGAAATATTGAGTTAGCCGTTATTAAAAATCGGCTCAAGTAGAGGCGCTTAAAAAACACTATGGACATACAAATTTATATGACTTTAAAATTCATAGTGAGTGGTACTGAAAAGAAAGACAAACGTAGGATGAAAAATCCCTATGAGGTTGGCAAATAGGGATTTCAGGATTTCTATCTGCAGTATTGTTGTCAAACAAACTCATTAGGGTCTATTTTTTAAAAACGACCAGATTAAGATTTTAGTCAAAAATAATATTTATATATAAGCCTGGAAATTTTGTTCCATAGATGGCAGAAAGGTTTGGACCTCTGCTTAACAAATCTCGAGGCTTAGATAATATTATTTCGGCTAAAATCTTAATCGGGCCGTTTAACAACACTACTCTTTACATGTTAGAGTGCATTTCCGGTCACCGAACTCCAATGGATTCCATATCCCAATACAACAAATATATCAGTTTTTTAAAAAAAATAATGGTTGATTTATTTGTCTCTATACTCTATATTTAATTTTTTTTTAAAGCTTATTTCACAAATCAAATTTCTTACAAATTAATAAAATTTCTAAAAATAAACGTACCTCGAAGCGGTAAAAACTAGGGGGCAATAATTGCTAAACCCATTCGCTTGGACATCCCCGTCAGTATTCCCATTCACTTTATCCCACCCGCCGTAGAAGTGAACGTCGTTTATCCTATCCGTATGGGATTTCATGTGATGAGACATGGAACTGTTCGACAAGTTAGAATTTAGGCAATCATCTCGATCCGAATCGGATAAATTCAGCAGGTTCCAGACTTGCAGATTGCCGCTTTTGCAACCAGCCAGGAGATAGGGGTTATATAGCGGGCTTCGACAAAAACGTAGGCAGTTGAGCACATTGGTTTTAGGGTTTACGGATGTGTACGGATTCTTTTAAAAATAATTAGGTATGAGAAAAATTAACTATAGTTTTTTAATAATCTTAGTAATTGCTTAAAAACAACAAACATATTTACATATAAAAACATATTATAGTCCAAAAATACGCATGTTATCAAAGAGTTTGTAATCATTACAATCAGCGACATTTTATATCGGAACAATACTTTTGAAACTGCCAATACCCCAATAAACAGGGCTTCGAATATTAATATTAGGATATATCTCCCACCTTTTAGGGTTAGGGGTACGCTAAGTTCTTCTAAGAGTAGAGACAACTGTTTTAGTAAATTTGAGAGCTTTAGTGGCTCTCCCTCAGGTCTTCATATTTTCCGTTTTCTTTTACCCAATCCACTCGTTGACGGCAGATCCGAGCCATATGGCTGCGGCAATGGTGAGTTACGACCCCTTGGCGGGTTGGGAGAATTCAACTGCTTCATTTTGGTAGATTAGACGGAACATCGACTAATCATATGCTGAGTGGAGTTGCGGCAGAAATATTTTTACACTCGGATGCCGTGGTGTTTCCAATCTTTCCCTTGGGTGGATTTACGAATTATCTTACCTTCCCCTAGGTATCACGTTAACTTTTCGGGAAATGAAGAAGTTGAGGAAAATATCGGTGGTAGATAGCTTAAGAAAGTGGGATGAAATTAATTCCTTACCCTTCCAACGTGACAGGAAATTAGCAAGATGTCACAACTATCGCACAAGCCAATTCTATCACGACCCATCAACGAAAGAGGGCCAAGACCGTATGATTAGGGTGCCGCCAACCAATGGATTGGGTGAACAAAAATTAGAAGAGATGGAGACCGGGGAAAAATGACGCGCTTCTGGGAACCCTGTTATGGAGTCTCGAGAGTAATGTTCTCATATAAAACATCGTTAATTGTAAAAACGAAAATATCTTTAAATATACCATGATAGCATGCGGACGTAGACAAAGATAATGATTTATTTTTATATGCAGATATTTTTGTTTGTTGTTTAACAAAGCAATAATCTATTTTTTTCCATATAGAGAAAATTAATTTTTTTATTCTATAAAAATACATATATATATTTATTTTTGAACTAAAAAAAAAATATTTTCTTTTAAATATATATCGAAATTTGCAAATAAATTTGTAAATTAGCCTCCAATTTTTAAAAATAGTAAAATCAATCGAACAAAAAAGTATTCTTTCTCAGATTGGGAAGAGACCTAAAAAAAATAGGTAGGTCAGTAGACCGAATATTCAAAATAATATGGTAGGTCCAAACCCGAAAAATTAGGACCGTTGCATGGTTTTATACATTGCGTTGCGACGTCGTGAGTAATATAATTACATAAAAATATGTGGATAAATGGATATATAAATTAAAATTTAGTCAAAATTTTGTGAAAATATTTGGCTGGAATTCGTAGGCCAGTGTACGCAAGGCCACATTTCAGCCAAAAATGAAGTCTTTAAACATTTAAAAAATAATAATTGTGTGTTACAAAATGATTTAAAGATTCAAGTATACCATTGTTGAGTGGTGTTTTTAAAAACCCTGATTCGGGCCGGTTTTTAAAAGCGGCCCGATTAAAGTTATAACCAGTGTTGTTAAACGGCTCGTTTTGAGCCGATTTTTAGAAAACGGCTAATTCAATGTTTCACCCCAGAAAAATATTACGACGCAAGCCTGAAGATTTTGCTCATAGAAGGAACAAAGGTCTTAGAACATATATCGTAGAAATCTCGAGATTCCGGCAATAATTTTTCTGGCTAGGCTCAAAACGTGCCGTTTAACAACACTAGTTATAACCAAAATAATATCAAGCAAACCCGGAGATCTTGCTCATAGCCGGCAGAAAGGTGTGGACATCTATTGGCTAAATCCTGAGACTTACATGATATTATTTTGGCTAAAATCTAAATCGGGCTTTAACAACACCAGTTATAACCAAAATAATATCAAGTAAACCCGGAGATCTTTCTCATAGCCGACAGAAAGGTTTGGACATCTATTGGCCAAATCCTGAGACTTACATGATATTATTTTGGCTAAAATCTAAATCGGGCTTTTTGACAACACTAATTGTGAGTATGGTGGTGCTTTTTTATTTCTTAAAAAAAAAATGATAAAAAAAATTTGTACAAACCTGTAACTGGGAAAAACTGTAAGTGCCGTCTTTCGATATGCGCCACTGTTTCAAGCAATTGTCCCTGGATAGGCTAAAAAATGTCAACTCCGAGTTCTTCCCGCCCAGGTCGCAATCGTTGTGGGCGAATTCCAAGGATTGAACTCCGTCGTAGTGAGGCGGGTTGAAAACCGTGACGCAAGGAATTCTCACGCATTTTTCCTGAGAAATGGAGGAGTATATATCGACCTCGTATAGCTTAAGTGGGTGGGGGGGGGGGAGGAGGTTAAAGAAGAGTATAAAAGTATGGTAATGTAGAGTCGAGTGGAAAAGGCGGCTAAAATAGCGCTTAAATGGGTAATATTATAATAAAAGATTCGACATTCCAAGTGGATATATTTAAATTGCTTCATTTTTATATTCCAAAGCATACATTTTTTTTTGATAAAGATCGATAGAACTTTTATTTAATTTTAACTTTTTTTCCTGGATTATCAATTCTTTTAACAAAAAAATTCTAACTTTAATATAATGATCCTTGGTTCCGCAGAGTAATAAATCGCAATTTTTCCCCGCTATATTTCTAGGGATTGTTGACAAGCACGTGACATTACTTGATTGAGATGTGACGGGCACGTTATTAACGCAGGCCAGTCTTAAAAAGAGTTTAAAAATGGTATAGAAGTTTATAAAGTTGTAATTAATTTTGGCGAGTGAGGGGACATTTTGTAGCCAATATAAAAATTTTAGACTCGGGATAAAACTTGTAAAAAAACGTTTTATAAATCTGACACCTTCCCTAATGGGAACGTTCCCAGGAAGATTCCTGATAATATTTAATCAACGCTAAATGCCCAAAGATGTTGTTTGTTCAGAAGATTCCTATATATATTGGGATATAGAATTCTTTGAGATTCCGAATTCCAGAGTAGAGATTAAATATATTGTATATTCTAATTTTTAAATCAATTTTTTTTTTCAAAAAAAATAATATAATTTTCACAGTCTGGCTGGAGTTATAAATATATTTATATTTTTTTTATTAAGACTGTGTCTAAAATATCAAAAAATTAAATTCACAAACTTCGAAACTTTAAATGAAAAAAAAAATAAATAAGATATTTTTTAAATAATAAAAATTAAAAACACGTCCAAAAACCAAATTCTAAGAAAATTTTATAAATTTAAAAAAAAATTGAACATATTATTTTATTAAAATTTGTAAAAGTTTTAAACTCTTAAAATTTTTTTTAAAAAAAATTTTTTGAACATAACCTAACATAGGTGTTTGCATCATAAAATATTTAAATCTAACTTATGCTTAGATAAAAAAAAAATTTATTTTTATTACTTTGAAGCGGGAAATTGAGTATAATAGATTAATGGACTCAAATTTTGGCTACTCATATTCTCAATTTCCCGTTCGGAAAAAAAAATTATCCCCAAATTTTATAAACGGTTTAAAAAAAATCATTCCCTAGAATAAGAAATAAATTCATTGGAAGATGTGTGTATCTCTTCATTGGGTTTTCTCATTTTATTGGATTCTGGGGAGAATTTTATCATGTAAATGCTTAATATAAACGGAATGAGACCAATTTCTTCAATATATTGTCGGAATATTCTGCTTGAGGCTCCACTGGATGGGAGAGGATATTAATAATAATTTTGCGGCTAATATACAAAGTGTTTGACTTGTATAAACCCCTCTATAAAAACTAAATGGGGAATATTCCCAGGAAAAATAAATTAATTTCCCGGAAAAATTCCTGGATCTGTGCTCTAGCGTTACATTAAACCAGACTTAAAATTTATTTAAAAAGGTTCCCGAATAAAACGCAGAATGGATGCAAGATCTCAAATCTATACGTTGATATTCGGAATCCCAACGAATTACGCGGATATTTAGCGCGCGATAAATTTACTTCCTAAGGTCCCATATTTTGACGGAGCAGCCGGAGGCGGCGTACAACACGCACTGATTCCTTCCGCCCAATTTAATGTCCGTAACATTGGAGAGTTCTGGCGATCGGGATAAAATTTCTTGACCGCCAATGTTTTCGGAGGAAAATGAAAACTTGTTCCCGGTTGAACTAAAAAAAAGGTAGGGAGAGATAAATCAAAAATTATGCCACATTTCATTTACTTTTTTAAAATAAAAATTCTCATGATATCGTACCATAAATTGCCCAGAACTAAATATGGGATAAGGTTTGGCGTAAGTAGTCTAATTGGGGTTGATGCCATATAATAAGATTATAATTGTTTTTTTTTAAAATCTATCAATGTTTACGTAAGAACGAATAAATTTAGACCTTATATTTCGGGAATTACGCCTTACTTCCTAAAAGGCACGCCACTTCCCTACCACCCTTTCCCACATACTTTATGTCACCTACCTTAGCCCCCTTTTCCCATAGTATTGAAATTATTTTAATTTTAAATTCTTATATTTTTTTTTGAAAATCTTTTATGCGCATGAATCTAGAAAATCAGTGAATAACCATATAACGAGATCACAAGTTGCGGGAGGTAGGCGTGAGGGGTGGGGGGGGGGGTGAGGAAATATATATTATATATCAAATGGGAATCTTTGTAGGGATCGTTACCTTGATTAATCTTTTCAGTTGGGAATAATAAAATCCATATAATAAACAAATATCCAGGTTTCTAAAAAAATTTGGGACATTAAGCCACGGTTTTACGAGGTCTCATTAACCATAAAGTAATGTATAGTCGAGCCCAAAAAACTGGACCGACCTAAACAGTTTTAAAGTTAGAAACCCGCAAAAAAAACTCGCCATTTTTTTTCTTCTTCAAAAATTTCAAAAAAAAAATGTACAAAATAAAAAGAGGGGGAAAACTTTAATACGCAGAGACACTCATTTTTGGCTCTGAGGTCCCAAATTTTGACGAAAGAAAGGGAGCAGGTGAGCAAAGAGTTGGTGTAAGGGGAATAGGCTATTTTGGTCACGTGATTCGGATGAGAAACGAACGAATGTTTGCACTTGCCCGTGGCGATGTCCCACACCTTTGCAGATCGGTCTAAAAAAGTGCGTTTTTAAAAAAAATTAAATAAAATGTATTTTATGGAAATACCGAAAATAATAGGCATTTTTTTTAATTGAACGAGATGCCTTAATTTCAATCTAATTTAGTCCTATCTTCAATTTTGAGTAAAAGTCGTTGTAAAAGTACTAAATTTTCGTATAAAATTGTATCTTGGTGGATTTAAAAAAGATTTCTATATTTGTTAAAGTACTTCTTAAGGTTTCAAGATACTAAAGATTATGAGGATACAATCAAATAATCTCTTCTATTTCTTACATAATATTTTTGAAGATAATGTAAACCTTTGGATCCAGAAAACAGCATTCCGTCGGCCGCGTCAAGGCAAAGAACAGACTTTTCGTGAGCCAATCGTATACAGTGAGATAGCGCGAGCGGAAAATCCCCGCTATTTTCCTTGAAACGCGATTTGGAGTTAGATTTTGAGGAGGTGTTGTTCTGAGAGTCATTGCCCTGACCTTTTCATAAGATATGGGTGATTGTAATGATTGAGAATTTAAAATGAGATATACATTTATACAAATGTCGTCGTTTTGGGATATAGAATCGATGGGAATTCGGAATCTCTTAATTTTTAAATGATTTTGAGGGTCATTTCTTAAATTTAAAAATTCTGATTTGACAGAAATTTTTTTTATTTCAGCATGTATAATAATCAGAGTTGTTAAAGGATATAGATACAAGTATCTAGATATAAAAATGTGGTATCTGTATCTGTGTCTAGATAGATTTTTGATTAAAATATCTGTATCCAGATATTATTTTAGACGATGTATCTGTGTCTAGATCCATTTAAAAAGTATCTTTTAACAACTCTGAACAACACCATGGTTACCAATAGGGTTTTTTCTTCTTCTCCGTCCAACCACTCCCCGAGAGAAGGTAGTAAATACGAGTAGCTTTTTGAGTAACAATTAGTCACTCAATTTATTTTAAGCAATTAATTAAACATTTTCGACTGATTCTTACAAATTAAAGATTATTTTATATAACACCTTTTACAAAAAATCCCTTATTTTTATAACTTAAAAAAACAAGATATATTTAACAGTCACGTGATATGGATTCGTGATCGTGAGAGAATGACTAACCTTTATCTGTTATTTCCGGAAAAGCTTTATGATACTCGGTCGTTCTGGTCTTGGTTATCAAATCGATGGACCTATCAGATTCGCTGAAATTTTTGTCATTCTCGTTCCCGTCCGTATTCACGGCGATCGAATTTTCGAGGCCATTTTGGTGAAAATGACTATTTCCATATCCGTTTTCGTTGTGTGAGGCAGTTCCGTTAGCGGTGCGCGTGATTGAGGGTTGTAGTGTCATTTCCGCCCCATGGCTTTAAAAAATAGTGAGGGGTAAAATGGGTTTAGGGAAGAGTTTGACGGTTAATTTAAAATCCCGAATTTATATTTATATATATATTTAACAAAAATCTTATTCACTTTAGGCTCAGGATGTCCTTGAATCTAATTTTTGGTTGTTTCTTCGTCATCGGGAGGCCACCGTTCTGTTGATGGATAGGAGGTTTTAGCTCGTAGTTTTGACCATCGTCGTGACCGCCATTATTAGAGTCGTTATAACCATTGGTAGCCGGTTCCGCTTGGGCAGAGTATAGAAGGTCCTTCGAGGTACGAATTTTTCTTCTTGCCTGGTTATAAGTAGTTTATATATATATATATATATTCTATTTATTTTTTTTTAAAAAAAATATCGGGAAAATTGATTTACATTTTAGGGGATCACGAAGAATGGTAATTGATTTTACCGGATTAAGATAAGTGTAGCTATTTTAATTCGCTAACTCTTTGACCTATCGAGAAACACGCTAAAATATTTTTTTGAACCTGGGGGCTAGTGTTGTTCAAACGGCTAGTTTTTAGCCAATTTCTAAAAAACGGCCAACTAAATATTTTAGCCAGAAAAATATTTGATTAGGGCCCAGAGATCTCGTTAATAGATGTCTAAACCTTCGTGATATGAGCAAAATTTTCAGGCTCGCGTAATATTTTTCTGGATAAAACATCGAGTTAAATCGTGCCGCTTTAACAACACTACCGGAGGCCATTCAAGATTTAAGGCCCGACAAACCGCGGAACCACTAAATAACACAAAACTCGGGCCAGCTCTATATTAAACAAGAACATCGGCTTGTCTTGTAATATAGGTGTTTCTTTCTTTCGCGGAAATTTTTTTTGTTAAATAACAACCTTTCTGGAATCTTCGATGGCGGAAGAGGCGTTCTCCGTAGAAGAATTGATGGCGGAATAAAACGAGGTAGACACGTTACTCGAGTATTTATCGCAGCTTTTATCACCTTGTCTTTTAATTAATTAAATATTATTATTTTTTTATCTAGAAATTTGTTTACCAGATGCCTCCCCTGAATCTAACGCAAAGGTAATATATATACCAAAGTTTGAGACATCGATCCTTACAACTTCGTTAGACTTATAGGAACCGAAACTAGAAAATCCTTCCAACATTTTTTCAGGAACTGAAACCCAAATTGTTGAAGGTGGTTAATTATTTCGACGCCGCTATCGCATTTGCCCAAGATGACGTAGACAAATGTGATAGCGGCGGATACGAGAAGCATGAATCTTGCAAATATCGATGCTCAGGACGGTCAAAAATGAAAAAGAATAATCAGAGGGAAAACTGGCCTACCCGGGTAAACCTGGAAATCGCCAGAAAACGGAGAAGAAGAAGAAGAATTATAATTACGAAAGAATTACGTTCACGATTCATACTCTGGGAAACTCATAAAAAAAATAAAATATTGTGTTTTTTTTCCCCCTTGATTTCAAAATATAATTCGTGTCACAGTTATTAATTATTGACAAAAGATAATAAAAAATAATTTTTTTTTATATAGAGGAAGGTTCTCTGAAAAGAAAATCGTACGACGGTAAAGGGGGGCTAATATAAGCGATCCGTTAGAGAGCGACCTTATTTGAGCGTTTTCGAAAAAAAAGTAAACCAGTTTTACGTTTTCATTAATGTTTATAAATCGTGACCAATTTGCATCGATACCATTTGAAAATGCCGTGTTTGCGTTTTGCGTAACGAAACGCGAATCGCTCAGAATCCGCTCATGGGTAAGTTAAGTCGCTTTTGCGAAGGATCTTAAATGGTTCGAAACCAGAGTTTTAGAAAAAAAATCTTGCAAAAAATCTTTGAAAAAAAAGAAGAAATAATTTTGATCAAATTTTAAGCCCTTTAAAAATGGAAAATATTTTTCTGGGTGAAAAAAATTTTTTTTTTATATAAGTAAATCTTTCGCAGTTTCGGTGCATAAAAAAATGTTTCAAGATGGAATATTTTTTTTCAAGCTCTGATCCGAACCGATTGGGCAGTGGAAGTTAGTTCCAGCGTAATTATTTAAATCAACCTAACTTTTGTCGACACCAATTTCCGGCTTAATCAAGCTCATATTCCAAAAATAAAAATGGTTTATAAAAATTAAAATTAGGTAATTTAAACCAGTAGTTAGCAGAGAGAGAGGGAGAAAGAAAGGAGGGATTTAAAAAAAAGGAAAATACTTGTAAAATAGAAATTCATCGGGGAATTCGTCGTCCATTAACGCGGGTATGTTGTCGTAAGTCGCGCCACCCATGAACAAAGCGGGGCAAATGTCCGGGCTTTAGAGAAAATAAAAATATACGAATCTCACGACTAATTATTTTCTCTTCTAAGGCTATAAATTTTATATCTCTGACTCCGAATAAAAATTGGGCTACATGGTTTATAAATGCATTTGGGAAGGTTTATGAGAATATTGACCAGTATAGTATCGGCGAAAAAAAAGGAGCTTGAATCCAGTGTAGCCCATAAGAGGACCTGCAGGCCCGACCCGGGTACACGGATCGAGCCGTATTTAAAGACCAAAAATTTTAAATTATAAGCTTATAAAAATTGAAAAAAAATAGAGACGTAGGAAAGGAACTTTGAGTAAATTTGTGGAAACGCAACCGGAACGCGTATTCCGGAGCCTTCCTAAAAATATATAAAATCTAAACAGTCGCATATATTATAGTGCACAGAAATTAAACGTTTCAAGGCAGCGTTTCAAGACGCGAATAAAAAAAAAACGTAAACGCCGCTATGTTTAAAAATTGAAAGCGTTAACTTTGAATTTTTTTTTTTTCAATATTGAAACCACTAAATTCTAAACAAAACAAAAAAAAGACTTGCTCTGTATATTTATAATTAGCGAATCTTTTTGTAATACCATAATTCCATAAGACTAAAAAAAAAAATTATCTTTATCATTTAATATAATTATTTTACTTTTTAGAAGATGTCGTATCCCATGAGTGTTGTTAAACAGCTCTATTTGAGCCAATTTGTAAAAAAATGTCTAACTCAATATTGTAGCCAAATAAACATTAGGCAAGCCTAAAGATTTTGGTCATAGATGGCACAAACTTGGACATCAATTAGCAAAATCTCGAGGCTTGTTCAATGTTTTTGGCTAAAATATTGAGTAAGAGAAGAGAAGAGATTTTTGGCTAAAATATTGAGTTAGACGTTTTTACAAATCGGCTCAAATCGAGCTGTTTAACAACACCAGTATTCATTGCTATCACTTCAAAATTTAAAAACGTTTCGATAAACGCCTGTTTTTTTTAATAAATAATTTTTAAAATGCGAAACGGAAAATATTCCCAATTTAAAATTTAAACGCATTTGAAGATGCATTATTCGCGTTTTTGAAATGCCGCGTTTGAAACGTTCAATTTGTAAACGCACTATTTTTTTAAAAATAAATAATAAATAAATAAATAATCATATCAAACTATTACAATACTTTTAGCAAAGTAAATAAAATTAACCAATAAGGCTCGATTTTGAGGCGATTTTTAAAAATGGCTAACTCAATATTTTTGGCCGGACATATTTTGCCTTAAGCCTAGAGATTTCGCAAACAGATGCGCACCAAACCTTTCTTCCATCTTTAAGCAAAATCTTCAGGCTTGAGTAATATTTTAATAGAATCTATCCAGAAATCAGAAATGTTTGATCAAATTAATAATTTATTATCGACCTTCCCACCCCATCCCTAATATTAACTACTGGTGGAACATATGATCAATCACGTGGGTATTCTTCGTATCTCAATTTATTACAGGATTCTCATCTTTCAAAACATAGTAGTATAGATTAAAAAAAATTAAAAAGAGGAGGAAACCATTTTTTATCAAATTTTTTTAAAAAAAATTATTATAATAAGATTATTATTTTTTTTTCTAATTATAATAAAAATTTTTATATGAACAATTTTATTTTCGATAATATATAATAATAAAATAATCCATAGCCAGGCAAGGCGTAGAAAGTCGTTTTTTTCGACACTCAAATTTATACTAAACACCACCACCACAAAAAAAAACCAATATAAATTATAATATTTTTAGAAAATATATTATCGCATCGATTGTAATCAAATTGATTAATTTAAATAATTCAAATAAAGATTAATTCAAATGGGTAAATTTTTAGAAAAAAATATATATATATTCCTATAAACGTTCCCGAACCTTCCAAAAGCGGGAACGGAGTCGGACAATTTTTTTGACCGGAAACGTAAAAATGCCCTTTCCGGGTCTCTGATTAAAAATAAATAATATATTTTACAAAAATGTTTGGGCCGGCCCTGAAAATTTAAAACCCGGGTGGGGAAAATGGTACCTAGGTCTCTGATTGATATATTTTAGAGAAAAATTCTTAAAATCTATTCGCAACTTAAAACTTATAAAAAAAAGTCTATAGATAATTTCCTCGATTGATTAATAAGGTCGAAACCTTAATATTATTTTATATTCCTCTAAAAAAAAATTATATTTCCCATAAAATAATCCACAAAAAAAAAATATGAGCCCCAAATATGCCTCCCTAGCACATTTCCCCCGTAGGTAAGAAAATATCATCAAAAAACTTAAAACAGGATATGTTCCCATTTTATAGGGTATTTTTATTGTTAAGACTAAGTTGATGAACCAAACATCTCAAGTATTTAATAGATTAGCTAGCTATTATTGTAATTCTAACTAATTTTATGATTTCAAGTTTTAAATGATCAAATAAATTCAAAATGGTTAAAAGATTCGCACAAATTTGATCAATTTTTCTTTATTTCATAATATAAAAAATATTATTTTATATTCCTCTAAAAAAAAATTATATTCCCATAAAATAATCCACAAAAAAAAATATGAGCCCCAAATATGCCTCCCTCGCACATTTCCCCCGTAGGTAAAAATATATTTATATTCTTACACGAGCAACCCGTTCACGTCTTCGGAGATGGCGCCTACACTTTTCCCAAACTCCGCGTCCAAACAACTCGATCCGAAGGCGTCATCCCTATTTCCGAGCCTTCCCTCCTCAATATTCCCGTTACTGCCCCGGGAAGATTCGTTGCCAAAGCCCCTGAGCATGTAAAGAAGCAGCTCTTTTTGGATACGAAATTCGGACTCGTCGCGGGCCCTTAGCGCCTTGAGTTCTCCCAAAATCTTGGCGTTTTTCTTGTTTTCGCAGCTCTTTTCGATCAGCATCTCCATGAGGTAATTGACGAGGTACCTGGCCTTGTGCCTGTTCTCCAAACATTTGGACAACGTCGAGTCCAGCGTGGATGAAGCGGAAGGGAGCTGAGAAGGGTTGTTCTTATTCTGCGGAGTTAATTATTATTTATTTAAATCCTTTTTTTTTGTTTGGGGATTAAAATAAAGAAAAACTACTAAAAATTAAATTACGTCGAATTCCTGGCAGCTCATGATGGACTCCTGACACCCGTCAATATTCTCCTGAACGAATTCTAAATTCAGTTTTAGATCTTTCATCCTTTCTCCGACATATTCCGTGTCCTTTTTATTTTTATATATTTTAAAATAAACAGAATTTAATTTTTATCGACGTTTTAGGATTCGAAAAAAAGCGGACATTTGTAGAAATTGGATTGTGGTGTAGAATCTACTACCCCCTCGCGGATATTCAACCACAATTGATTTTTTGTTTACAAAAGGAAAATATGGGGTTTAAATATTGTCATGTTACACATAAATGTATGTCCAATATGTTAAAGATTACCCAAATGGTCGACTATTTTAATTAATCTATCCTATTTTTTTTTTTAAATAGCTATCGTCTGCTTATTTTTTTTAAAAATTATATCATAATTTAATAAATTTATGGCTTTCTTTAAGTTTTATTTTCTTTAAATTGGTCAGAGGTTAGACTTTAAATATCCAAATTGGTAAGGGTTTCAATATTGTCATGTTCCACATAAATGTATGTCCAATATGTTAAAGATTACCCAAATGATCGACTATGTTAATTTATCTATCCTATTTTTAAAAAATTTAACTATCGTCTGCTAATTATATTTGTTGAATTATATCATAATTTAATAAATTATAGGCTTTCTTTAAGTTTGATTTTCTTTAAATTGGTTAGAGGTTAGACTTCAAATATCCAAATTGGTGAGATCATTAATTAATTCATCTACGAAAGGAAATCCTGACAGAAATTTAGCAAGCCAAGTAGCCATACGCAGATCACTCAATAGAAATATATTACGTAAATATAAGAATAGCCTATTAAAATAATGGTCCATAACGATAACTTCTTCAAAAGGGGAGAGAATTCTAGAAAAATTGTTTTTAAAAATCTGCGTGTCTCCTCAAACAGACCATTTGATGTGAAAAGAAACCATATTTTATCAATATTAAGAACAAATTGGGCTTTAAAATAAGTAAATTAGACAAAATAGCAGTGATGTTGCATGAATGCAAAAGGCTAGGATGTGTTAAATATCAAGATATCATCAACGAAATATTGATCAACCAAATTCGGTTATTAGGACATGAAGCACATTACATCTTCTGGCAAGATGGAGCTCATTCTCATATACCAAATCGACATAAAAATTTTGCAAGAATAATAATAATGTCCAATTGTTACCATCCACCAAATTCCAATCCTACTGGAAACATATGGGGATTTTACTTAAACGAGAACAACTTTCTTAGAAGGAAAAAAAAACTAGAATTTATATACAAATTAATAACCCAAAATATGAGGCAGAATCTTAATTCAATGCCATAAAAATCTGGGCTAAATAAGGATATTTAAGGCGATAATTTTGAAAAAGAATTATACATTCCAAATCATTCTTATTCAATAATTAAATAATTAATTTTTGTTCATTATATTATCGCTATCTTATGATAATAAACAAGTTTTGAAAAAAAATATTAGAATTATAGTTGTAACTGGAATACAGAGGAGAATTACTTTAAGTTAACACAACATGCCTAAAATAGTATCTTTTCAAAACATTATAAATTTCTTTTTCAAAAAAAAAAGAGAAAATTTTTCTTAATAAAATGGCATAAAAATAAATTGCCATAAAAAAAAGTATTTTATAATAATTATTAGAAATGTTAACTTTTCTTTTGTCTAGATTATTCAAGAGCGTTTGAATTCGGTTAGATCATGAAGGGGATCAGGGGGTTTATTTTAATTTGAATGGGGATGGGGTGAGGGAAGGGGGGGGGCGCAGTAAATTCTTATAAATATTACCGTATCATTAATGCCGGAATGATCCATATCGTCAATATGACGATTGAGTTGTTCCAAGCTCGAAGCCAGAACCTCCCTTTTCTTGATCCAGTATTCCATCTCGGCCTCCGATTCCTTCCTGGATATAGCACTACCTGTTATAAGAAATTCCCAATAAGTAATAAAGTAATGTGTCGGTTTTTACGCTTGAATAAAATGTTATCGAATTTATGTCTTTTCTTGCAAACAAAATTATTATGGACCGGGTCGAACAACTTGTAGATAATTATTTAACTGGTCGGGCCGAAAAACTAAAAAAAAATTATATGGACCGGTTCGGTCAAGTCGATTTTTAGTTAAGCGAGTGGAGGGATCGTCATTTTTTTCTGAATTCCTGCTTACTTTGATGGTACAATCCACCAGGGATTAAAGTATTTTTTTTTCCCCAAAATTTTTAAAAAAAAACGGTTTATTTTTTTTAAACTCTCTTTATGTTATTGTAATATGATAATATATATATATTATTTCAGAAAAGGTATATATAAAAAGGACAGTTTTGTTGATATAAAAGATATATACTGGTAATTTATTAAATAAAGACGAATGGTCATCATAAATTCTAAACCGTTCTCACATTCTTATTTTGACCAAATCTCAGTGCAAGACCACCTCACTGCTTTAAAATCACACCAAACTAAGTCTAATATATTTATAGTCGTACTTTTGTTATATATATTCTCTAAAAAAAAATTGTTTTCTAACTAATGGAATTGGCGTTAAATTTATACTTTTGTATCATCTGGCGATTAGAAAAATTTGATTTTTTGTATTGTATGGAATTCATAATCTCTTAATTTTGTCATTTACTGAGAAAGATTTTATGATTTAAAATTAAATCACCATGGATTCCTTGTCTCAATATGACGCATAACATAAATATCCATTGATTATGACAAAAAGTAATTTTTATAATCGTCATTTTTTTTAAAAAAATAGGGTTTTATTACCCAGGAGTGTCATGAGCTGTTCCCGCCAGGTGGCATCACTAGCCTTGTTCCTATAGATCGATTTCGAGGGAGCTACTAGAGCTCGTTCGCTACTATGAGTCTCCCGACCCCGAGATCCGATTGGCCCATTCGATTGGCTCTTAGAGTCGACGGCATTGCTGCGCTGAGCTTGGATATTTTGTTTGAGTTTGCGCAGGACGTTTAACTGTTAGCAAGAAATATTGCAATTATAAAACTTTATATAGGTATATTTACCTCGTCCATCTTGATCTTGAGCATGTCATCCCTTTTGACCTTTTCGGCCTTGAGATTGGAGATCGTCTTGTCTTTACAAGCCCCTTCCTTCTTGAGACGATTAATCTCCCTTTCCTTTTGGGCTTCGAGGTCCTTGAGGGTTTTGTGACCCTCTTTGATTTTGCGGAGCAGTTTTATCTTTTTAAAACGAGGACAGGATCGTGGGTTTATTTAGGAAAATTGGGTGAAAGAATGAAAGAAAGATAAATGAAAATAATTTTTTTTTTTTGGCTAAGGAAATTCAAATTTAAAAAACCTTTTAAAAATTCTTCTGTCAAAAAAAAAATGATTTTAATAAAGATTATTTTATATACGGTGACAAAGAGAGGCAATTAAAATATTATATATTTTATGACTTGATGAAAGAAATCTTTTTTTTTACTGCATCTTCGTCGAAATCAGAAATTTTTTATTTATTGACAAATTCTTGACATTATAAATAATTTTTTTTTGACTAAGGAAATTCAAATTTAAAAACCTTTTAAAAATTCTTCTGTCAAAAAAAAAATGATTTTAATAAAGATTATTTTATATACGGTGACAAAGAGAGACTATTAAAATATTATATATTTTTATAACTTGATGAAAGAAATTTTTTTTTTATTGCATCTTCATCGAAATCAGAAAATTTTTATTTATTGACAAATTCTTGACATTATAAATAATTTTTTTTTGGCTAAAGAAATTCAAATTTAAAAACCTTTTAAAAATTCTTCTGTCAAAAAAATGATTTTAATAAAGATTATTTTATATACGGTGACAAGGAGAGGCTATTAAAATATTATATATTTTTATGACTTGATGAAAGAAATCTTTTTTTTTACTGCATCTTCATCAAAATCCGAAATTTTTTTATTTATTGACAAATTCTTGACATTTTATCAAAATTTATAAAACAAAATAAAACTACTTTAATTACAACATTTATCTTTGTATTTATATAAAATAATCCCTCTAATTTTGAATAATTTTACTTAAAAAAAATAAAATAGTTTCGGCCAAAATTTTTGTTAAATTTGATTTTTTAAGAAAAAAATAAAAAAATTTCCATTTTTTTATTTTACTAATTGTGAGAGATGCAATGACATATATAACACCTAGACTTAATCATCAAAAGTGTACATCGATACAAATCAGCTGGAGACGCCATCTTGGTTACACTAATCATTATTAAAATTTTAAACGGGAGCCCATCTGATGCAAACTTTATTAAAGAATTAACGGATCATCGAAATAATAAGGAAGCAAGTTACCAATTTAATAGTAGTTTTTTTAACACGAGAATAATTACTATATGTGTTACCAAAAATGGCGGGTCCAGCTGATTTGATTTTAACGACGCTTAAAAATGCATTTTAATGAATGAACAAAAAAAACTTTCATTCACGAAAAAAAAGGGAAATTGAAGAATTTTTACTTTTGTTTGTTTGAGTTCAAGCATTTCGGATTCCAATATATTTAACTTCAGCTGATTCTCCTTGAGATTTTTGACCAAATTAGCGTGATCCTTTTTAACGACCTTCAAATTTTGAATTTCGCGATTGAGATTCTTGATTCTTTCGTGGTAGAATTCGCCGTTTTCTTCCTTCTTGTCGTTTTCTTCATTTTATAAGTATTCGATTTTAAAAATGATTTAAAAAAGTTGGTCTAAAATCTAACTATTTGAATCGGAATCATTGATAGCTTTTTCCTAAAAAAACCAGAAAACGATATATGGCAGAGACCTGCGGAGGTACCATTAGCAAGGCCCGGCCCGGATTTTTTTTTAAAAATATATTAAAATTTATTTATAATTTTTATAGTTAATAATAGCGATTAAGATATTTGGCTTTATAATATTCGACCAGACCCGACCCGGCCCGGTCCGGGAGGTCTTAGATAAGTAGCATCGGTCAGCATATTAAGATTTACTAAACAATGACCAAATTATATCTTATTAACTTTACCCTTACCTCATCTAAGAGATTAGATTTAGAAAAAAAAACTGGCTCCGCTGGGGGTTGAACCCGAAGTTGTGCCGAGTCTCAGTCTAGGGTGCTATTTTAAAATCCAATAACGCCCGATTAACCCCCCCCCCCATCCACCACCTTCACCCAATATCTATCTGAACAAATTATAACCAAGTTGTGAACAATTATTATTATACCTAAATTGACGAGGGTTTCCCGTTTTTGCTTGTTGATCTGCTCTATCTTGTCCTCCATCTTTACCAGCTGGCGTTCGTAATGCCTTTTCAAATCCTTGATCTGCACTTGGGACCGTTTGAGCTCGCGAATCAAGTGAATTTTTTCATCGATCCCGGTTTGAATTTCGTTGAGCAATTGGACGCTTTCCGCGTCGTCAACCGAGGCTAGGTCAGAAGCGGGGTTGGAAACTTTGAACAATGGAGAAAAAAAGAGTGGGGGGGGGGGAGTTATAATAATATTAATTATTTTGTCAATTTGCAAACAGATCAATTTTTTTTTATAAAAAATCATATTCTTTTTCATTTTATTGCATTTTTTTTTGTCTTTCCTTTCTTCCATACTTTGATCTTCCTCATCCTCGTAATCGGAACGATGGTGAATATCGGGGTCGGAAATGGCCAGCATATTTTTAGCAATGATTTCGGATGTCGAAGAGGCCGCCGATATGGTTCGATTTCTTGAAAGAAAATTATTACTTAAAAAATAATATAATATAGTATTTCCTTTATTCGTCCATTGGGTTGTGGATACAGGCCTTTCGTCCAAGTAGGACAAACGCTAGTGTTGTTAAACGGCTCGTTTTGAGCCGCTTTTGAAAAACGCCATAGCGTAAGACCTCCAGATTTGGCTAATAGATGTCTAGACTTTTGTACCATCTATGAGAAAAATCTTCGGGCTTGCGTTTTTCTGATAAAATACTGAGTTAGCCGTTTAACAACACTAGCACAAGCCTTCATTTTATATTAATTTTCTAGAAGATAATGATATTTATATAAATAATTACCTCTTCTTTAAAAAAAATAGATTAGAATAAGCTTTTAAAAAGTTTAAACTGGGAAAATTGTGATAAAACCTTAAGGAAGAAAATGAGTTAGGTCTGCGAATTAATAAGGGTAAACAGCTAAAAATTAAAATAAATAAATAGAGCATACTCTCGAAATTCGGCTTCCGCTATCGAATCGCAAAGGGCGTCGGCGTTTATAGCCGCCTCGTCGTTGTCTTCATCGCAAGGCATGAGATCATCTTTTGAGAGGCATTTCCTGAGACCTTTCAATTGACTCAGCGACAATTCAACCAAGTGAATCATCTGATTATTTGCAAATATTTAAAAATATTAATAAAACATCCCTGCTCAAAAAAAACAAATAAGCACGTAATTATTTTTTTTTCATTATAAAAAAAATGGTCAATTCCTATATTAAGATCACCTTAAAGTAATCTAATATGATTATAAAATCTACTCTAGACCGCAACAAGACTCATGAAAATGAGGGTAAAGTGTTCCTCCATATATATTCTAAGAGTGGTGCATATAGTTGAGTGACGTCTAAAAATCGGCTAATTCTGCTTAGGCGCATGCCAAAGAAGATCCATTAAGCATTGAAACCGGAGTTAATTTATTATCTATTTACTTTAATATTTCCAAAAAAAAAGACCGAGACTGCGCTGAAAACTTTAGGCTAAAAACTAGGTTTCGCCTTTCGTTTAGCCGGCTAAATATAGAGCAATTACCCAGCTATAGTAGTGCGTAACTTTTGCAGGTTTATATATCATTTTACCGCTCTCCGCTAATAACAAAACTTGGTTCCAGCGTTGAGCATATTTTTTTGGCGAATAGCGGGTCTGATTCTGGCTACTTGGAAATTAAAAATATTTTCTGACTAAGAGTTTCCGCTTCCGATTTCAAATATTGAGAATGCACATAAAAAGGTGCACATAAAAAGGGTTATTGTATTCGAGTTAAAGAGTAATTAAAAGATGGATACTTTGTAATTGGGGTTCGATGGCTTATTTAGAGAGTGCTCATAGGGCCATCTAACCCCATAGGAGCATTTAACCCCGTTACACCTCGTTAAAAAATTTTTTTTTTAAAACTCATTCTTTCCCACCAAACAAAATCCTAATCCTACACGCCACAATGTCAGAATTAATCAAAGAGGTAGATATATTGATTGAGTGGCCTTAGTTGAATAGTAAATAGAGATTGACGTGATATGACACGAGGCATGGAATAAAAAAAATTATGGTGAAATGAGTCTTGTAGATATATAAAATGTTCGTTTGATTATTCTGAGAGATTTTGAAATATAATTATTGTAGCATTTACCTCGAGATTGAATTTGGGACTAGAAGGATTTATGGCTGGAGAATCGTGAGATAATTTTTCACCGGTTTTCGACGAGTCAGTAGTATCTAGATTATCGGTATCTTTGCATAATCTTCGTTTGAAGCGGAGGAATAAGTTGGACAATTCTACGATTTTGCATCTAACAGCAAAGATTATGAATTGAATGAACGAAAATGCATAATATAAATGAATTAATTATTTTAAAGAAAAATATCGTTAGGCAGTCTTGGAGATAGAGGGTTTTAAATGTAAAATAAAGAATCATGTCATTATTATTTTTGATTAGAAAAATGGCGGCGCATATCATATGTATCGGAGATCTTGAGAATTTTAAACGATTTCGAATTTTCCAGACTGATCCGGTTCTCTAATTCCTTTTTTAATGGCAGCCATAATTTTTACCATTTTACCTGTCTGATATTGGTATACAACCTTATCTCTAGTCAGTCAGAAACCCCACAACCCGAATATCGGGCGGGGGGGGGGGGGGGGTAAGCCAAATTATTAAAGATACGAGGATCTTAAATTATAAGGGGAGACAGAAGAGGGCTAGATATAGAATTATTTAAAATACAATAAAATCAAGGTTGTCAATAAAGAAAGGTGTAACAAGAGGATTCAATTTTCAGAAAGAGCGGCAAAATGATGCTCTTACCCAAGAACCTATAAAAATGTAGGGCAGACCCTGAAAGGGTGCATATGAGAATTTTTTTTGCGGGAGCAGGGGTAGGGCAATTATAATTGCGGTTATTCTGGCCTATTGGAATAATGGTGCTCACCTCACGTGTGTCCTTTAATATTTTTTCTTTAAAAACCTCATTTGTCAAATATTGTTTTTTTTTAAAGATTTTCCAGATGATTCGTAATTATTATTAACGGTTACGAGTGTTGTTAAACGGCTCGTTTTGAGCCGATTTTTAAAAGAGGCTAGCTCAATACTTCATCCAGAAAAAATATTACCCAAGTCCTGAAGATTTTGCTCATAGAAGGAACAAAGGTCTAGACATATATTACCGACACTCGTAGCTTAGGTGATATTTTTCTGGCTTAAATATTGAGTTAGCCGTTTTTAAATCGGCTCAAAACGAGCCGTTTAACTAATGGTTACATAGAAAAATGTTTAAAACGTTTATCAATCGTAATATTTATTTCTACCTACAAATTTCCCTTTCCCTGATACGTTTCTTGATGATGTTGAGGAGGTACCAGGATCTTTTGTCTTTGTCTATGACTCCATCTATCGAGGTTTTTTTTATAATTTTATGATTTTTAGAATTTGTAGAAAATGAAAGGGTGTTTACTTTTGATATCGGTACAATACTTCCTGGCCTTCAGCCGGTAATACAGCTTAGAGTTACTGTTAATCATGTATTCCAAAGCGGCCCTAGCCGAATGCAATTTATCGATCAAGTCGTCAACGTTACATGCATCAGCGTCATTTTCGTAATGGCCATTTTGGACGTGGCCGAAATCTCGATCTAGTCTGGAAGGTTCTTCGGAAGACGATTTGGCTGAATGAGCATCGGTGAGTATGTTAGCGGTGTTGCTCTGTGTGAGAATCGGTTTTTTTTATAAGTAAAGTGCTAAGATAAAACAATTATTTTTTCCTCTATTCTTACTCTTCTTTCATTATTTCCTTCCCTCCCTCCCTCTCTTCTTTCTTTCTTTATTCCCGGATAATCGCAAACTGAAACAGCTTATGGATAACCAGGGTGGAAGTCAACCTTCTTCAATTCCGTCAATTGGCATTGCAACCGGCATAGCTCGGCCTTGAGATTGGCTATGATGACCTGGCTCATGAGATCCCTACCGTTCGAGGCCGAGAATTGGTTGACGAATAGTTTATTCTTTATATTTTTGGCCCGATTGGCGTAGTTTAGCGTATTCAGAGTTTCCACGAAGTCGACGTCGGAAGGCGAAACGCAGGCTATCATCACGGTTTGGCTTTATTTTTTTTGCACGAATATGTAATATTTCATTTAAAAGAAAATTAGACGAATTAAAGTTATCATCAGTCAAATCGACTTAATTAAGTCTTTTATATTCATAATGCTTTTTTTTTGCTTAAAACTTGATCGATGATCGATAATGATTTTCTAAAATAGCTTTAATATACCCTACCCACCCCCACCCCCCCAAGATTTTTCCCCATTTAAATCAGATTTTTTTAAAAAAAAATAATAGAATTTTATTCCATTTTGATCAGAAATTTACAAAAAAAGGACTTTTTCCATTTCCAGATCTTTAAACATGGGGATTTATGAATAAAAATTTTTATAACGTTTTATTTATGTTTAAATATATGTTTTTTAAAAAAAATTTCTTAACATTTTACTTAAGGTTTCATTATAAAATATTTAAAAAATGATTTTAATTATATGGTTATTTGCGTAGTTAACAGATAATGCATAAAACATGTTAAAGATGAAGATTAACTGTTAGTATAAAATAATTTGAACTCGTAGAAGAGCTTTTCATATATTTAAACCTAATTGAATGATTTTGAGGTATGTAAAGGGGAGAACATATAATACGTATTTTAAAGAAATAATCATTTTGCACTATAAAAGGAGAGACAGAACACACTGAAAGATAGTTACACAAACATATTTGGGCCAATATCCCGATGACCGAAAAACTATAGTGAAAAATAGTTTACCGAAAGATTATATACCAGCCTCAGAATTTTTTTTAAGATACTTATTTCAATTAAATAAAATTATCGAACATCTCAGATCGTGTGAGTAATGACTGCCCCCATCTCCTCGTTTTAATAACTAAATACGAAACCAAACAGTAACATTTAGTAAATAATGCTTTCGAATTCCATATCAATACTGTCTCGAATCTTAAGTGCTGGAGATCCCAAAATAGAATTTTTGTTGGTGATGTAGAAATAATTCTAATCTGTGAGCTTAGTGTGACAGCTTCTGTAAAAGGAATGTTTTTCACTTTTTGGCATAGGGTTGGACTAGAAAATGCTTGTTAATGTTACAATAATAGTATCGAATAAATTGGTGAAAAATTATTTTTTAAAATTAAACATAATAATATTTGAAAGTCATTTGTAAACAAAATGTCAAGTGATTTGTAAGTGATGCATTTTAATAATTATTATGTAAAAAAAATTTAAATCATTGATTTAAAAAAAAAAATCAACTTGATTTTTTTTTCCATAACCTCCCATCTCCTTTTACAAGTTATTAAGATAAATAATTGGGTTTAAAAAAAAAAGGAGGAATGAAAATTCAAAATGATTTGTCTATTTATGTTCGATGGGGAGGGGTATTATAAGATACTTAAATCTATCTATATACAGATAAATAATCTAAATTTAAATACGGAGCATCTATACTCTTAAAAATAGTATAATGGATATCGATACTTTTATAAAAATTTATTTTTGATAAGATATAAAACAATATATAAATTCGATGTATCTAGATATATAGTTTTTTAAAAAAAAAACCTATTGCCACCCAAAGAATCCTGCAACAATCTCGTGAGTTTCGAGTCCCTGTACGGTACATGAGTCGCTTTCTTAGATCTGTCACCGAGTGCCGAAATAACGTTACCCAAAGCTAACTGTGTCAGAGGGAGGGGAGAAAATAGACCAGAATGTTATAATCTATAAAAAATTAAGTAAGAATAACCACTACTACTAACTTGATCAGAAAATCTGTTGAATGTCAACGGTAGGATGGTACAGATTTAGACCTTAGGGTTAATCCGGTTCGCTTAGTAAATATAATATCGTCTAGTATCAAAGAAACCTCTCTAGATTCATGTAATTCAAAAAAAATGGCCACCAACAATTTTTAAATTACATTCAACACTAATGAGGACTCACCAGTCCGCAGTTGATGTGAATGCTCTCTTTAGCCCTGCGACCAGTGGCCCCGGTCCTCTTAAGCCTCTCAGAGCCGGCTAAATCTACGAAATGTAATTTGAAACTCAGCCATTCGTTCGTTTCGGGGTCGAGAATACCGTTCCCGTTCTCGGTTAAACTTTCACTGGCGATTTGCATTTCCTCGGTCAGCTGAACGTCCCCATTTATCAATTTAGGCGGGGTAGGTGAGGCGGTACGAGTGGTTGGAGAGGAAGGATGGTAAGCGAGAGAGCCCCGCTTGAATTTGGCGTTGATGGTGAATATAGCGTGCGATCTGGAGGAGAGTGAATTCATGACGGTGCAACCGGTCGTTCTGCATAGAATGCCTTTCTTCAAGTATGTCAGGACCTACAAAGGGATTGCATCATTTATATTATATTATTGATTAAAATTTTTAAGATAACACGTAACGCGAGTGAACAATAATTAATATATTTAGCACGCGTTCATAAATTAGATTAAATCTTTCATAAGCGTCCTGGGGGAAAAAAAAGGAAAATTTGTTCGAATAGGGGACATTTAAAAAATTGGCGCCATTAAACCTAAGGGTGATTTCATTTTTTAAATATAAATAGTACTTGATCTTCGTGATTCACGATTTTGGTAGTTAACCCGGAAACGTAGACGTTCCCAGAAACATCTTCCTGCACCTTGAGTCCGCTACCGCTAGATACGCTCGTGTTGAAACTTTGATTCATCCCCTTTTTACTCTTGTATCAAAAAAGAAGATATAAAGCGAGTATAGAATTTCATTTTTTTTTTGGTAAGTGGATTAACTCTTTAGACTCTAAAGGATATATCAGGGCGCTCTGGCGTTTACCAGTCATTAAAAATATATATATCAAAACGATAAATATGTAAGTTAGAAATTATCAAAAAGAGTTAATTTTTAAATTATATATTATAACGCGTTTAATTACTTTAAGAATAAGGAAATTTATTCGGGATTAACTCTGCGTTCATAGCTGATAATGTCAAAATTTGCAGGGAAAATATTAGCGAAAATTGGCTATCGCCTAAGATTTCGCGTCAACCGTGAATGCAGGGTTATACAACTACTAAGAAGATAACATTTTCATTATGCAAACGTTAGAAATGATATTTTGTAACTGTCGATTCTTAGCTTCATATCTTTTAAAACTTTAGGCGTGCGTTCTGGTATGGCCTTACGCATCATTTATAGTAAAAGCGATTTGTTCGAGCGTGGCGGTATTTAACGCCGAGTTATATATACAAAATCGAGCCAATAAATAGGCATCATTTACAAATGTAGAGCGAAAACGTAAACGCTAACGATAAAAATTTGGAAAACATGTGTTACGACGTACATTTCAAAAAATTATTATAGCCGTGAAGAATCAGTTGTGATTTTCGATGGCGTTAAATACCGCACAGCTTGAACAAATCGCATTTACTATAAAGGAGGCCGTCGCCTTAGGCTGACTGTGTCAAAGCGGTTGGCTTGAGAAAAATATTGGTCTCGCCGGGAGAAACGAGAGAAAAAAATTACAATTAGCGGCTCAACTCATTTTATAAATATAAATACGTCATATCCAGCTGATACGGTCAAAATTTCTAGGCCTAAGAAAAATTTTTTTTAAAATATACATAACCCCCGCATTCACTGTTAGTGCGGATTCGCGGGGACTTGTTAGTAATGAATTAAATATATGTTAGGGTCAACGTGTTTTTTCCGGCAAAGTGTTATTTTTACAACTTTAAATCATTTTTTGAGCGCGATGTATACAGTCTTGTTTGGAATACCTACCCGACGAATTTCAGACAATTTATCAATCGCATGAGCTTTTAAACTTAATATAATTCGTATTAAATTTTTCATACATTTTTTCCTATATAAATTCTTTCTTTTCTTTCTTTCTTTCTTTCTTTCTTTCTTTCTTTCTTTCTTTCTTTCTTTCTTTCTTTCTTTCTTTCTTTCTTTCATAAAATGACTCAAAGGTTTAAGGCAAAGTAGTCTACGATTCATAGGATAGGTTTACTCTAAACATGATAGAATCTATTTCCCGGTAAAAAAATCAGATTTTTAAAATTTAATGGAAAAAATGCGCGCTAAAAATGATTTAAAAGTTGTTAAAAAAAACACGCCGACGCTAACATACATATATACATACAAAATATCATTGTGACAAATAATAAGGAATGAAAACAAATCACCTACTTGCTAGAAGAAAAAAAAAATGTTTAATATAATAACATTATTGTTCTATCTTGAAAAAAATAAAATTGTTTGATATTGTTTTAAAGATATATATATTATTACCGACTGACTAGTAGAAGACGTATTCAAGCCATTAGGTTTGATCGTGTTCAATAGATCCACTATTTCATCGTTGTAAAGCTTAATATTTATTTTATTTTTATATTAAAAAAACGAAGAAAAAAGGTTTAGCGAAAATTCTATATTTTTTAAGTAAGAGATGCGAGCACTGCGCATGTCCGTCTATCCGATACAACCCGTAAAATGGAATCCGTTCCGATACCTATAGTTATGATCTAAAAATCAAAACCGGGTTCGGGTTCTGCTTAAAAAAATGAAATCAGGTTCAGGTCTAGAAGTTGGGCCGATAAATATAAAACCGGGATCATGGCAGGAAAATATATTTTTTAAAAAAAAACCTCCAAAAATTGAACGGACATTTCGAAATGGTCGTTAGCGTGGGCTTCCGTTTCCTTCGGCTGAGAGTATTTGCGGGTATCGTCTCCTCGTGTCGTCCTTAACCGAGCGAATAAGAGTTCCAAGGACCGAGATATTATACCGTTTTCGCTGGGTTCGCTCGAGTTGTAAAACGTGCCCATGGTGTAGGTCTTACCCGAACCAGTCTAAAAAAAAATTTTTTTTTTTTTAAATCATAATTTAGCGAAAATTTAAGTAAGTAAGAAAGAAATGGATTTAGACCGCCATTTTAATTTCGCGCGATAATAAATTACGTAATCATGTTTTTGAATAGGGAGCAACCAAATTAGACCGTGTTGATTCATAAAACAAACGGTCAAATTCATTACAGAAATATACGTAACTTCACTGTTGTGATGCGCTGAGCATTTTCATAAATTTTATCGATCATCTGTTGATGGAATTCCGAATGAGGGTCGCGATAAATATTTTAAAGCCACAATCGTAGACTCGAATCCGTCAGTGGGAACAAGCCCCGACATCAATGTGCCCCATCCCCACTTACCCCCCCCCCCTCCCTTCTTATTCTATATGCGGTATTATAATTCGCTTCAAATCTTTAAATTCTCATGGATAACAATATAACAATAGGAAAAGAGGAAAAACCTAATAAAAAAAAAAGTTTTCCGAGAGGAATGAATATTAATATTATCTCGAATTCGAAACCTGGCCGTAAGCGAGGACCGTCGCGTTATAACCTTCGAAACATTTATCGACCACGTCCTTGACGGCCGCGTCGAAGACTTCCTTCTGGGTCTTGTGGGGTTCGAACACGTGGTCGAAGGTGAAGCCCTTGTCCTTGGAAAGTACGATTTGATTCGGCGGGAGATGCTGAACGCACAGTTTGCATTGCTCGATTATCTCCCGCGTGATCTGCGGTCTTATCCTATAAAAAAGAATTATTTTAATAGAATCGCTAAGGGTAAGAAATATTTCTAATATAAATAGGGAAACCTGCAGGCTCGGACTAAAGCCCGACATCGCCATATTTTATGGGATTAGGGCAAATCATTTAAATGATTAAAATTAAATGATTAAAATTTAAATATGTTCAACGTATCACAGTTTTTAAAAAAAATATAATAAAATAAAAACTTATTAGATTGTCAATCATATATTTAATATTTCTAGACAACTTCCAAATAGACAAAATGTATTGTATGATATATTATAAAAAAATAAATTAAAATTATTTGAGAATACACAAAAAAAAATTTAATAACAAAAAAAGAAAATAACAAAAAAGAAAAATGAAAATAACAAAAAAGAAAAATGAAAATAACAAAAGAGAAAAAAACAAAAAAGAAACAAAAAAGAAAATAACAAAAAGAAGATGACTATGAAAAAGTTTTTATATTTATCTAATATATAAACGTGCTAAAAACCTATTTAATGTAGAGATTTTTTTTAAAAAAATAACTTCAAAAAAATTTTAATTTAAAGATTAAATATTTTTAAATCCTCCAAATATTTCCGACATTAAATTTTAGATAGATAAATATGTTTTTTCGGTATACTTTTTTTAAACAGCTGTTTTGATTTGAATCACATTTCTTTCAATGAACACATTTTTTTTAGCCTAGGGCGCGCGTATTAAAAATTTAAAACGCGGATAAGGTTTTTTTTTAAAAAAAAATATTCAGTTGTCTTTTCGCTCTTCTAAGAAATGGCAAATCTTTCTTATTCAGTTCCGGAGATTTTCGAGAATTCGCGACCAAATAGTGTCCCAGTTCCCTCTAATCTGACATTTAACGGTTCTAAATTTATCGGGCTCCCTGAACCGGATATCAGCTACAAAATGCCTATTACTCACAAAACGCAAAATGGGGGGGGGGCAAGCTAAATAGGGTAGAGATTCACAAATCGATAGCTTACCGTAAAATCAGGTGATAACCAAATTAATTTAATTTTTACATTCCAAGTATAAAAAAAAGAATATTTTTTTATAATATCCGGGATCAAACCCGGCCGGGTTAAATTAAAATCCGGCGCCGAAACCGGTAGCGGTAAAAAATTAAAGCGAAAACGAAATCACATTGGCAAATGATTTCTTTGTATAAATATTTACTTTGTAAAAAAGAATCCTCCTCATCTTATTTTTTTTAAAACAAAAAAATATTGGAAAAAAAGGCTTAAATGAAGATTTAAAAATAATAATTTTTTTGAACTATTTACCTAAAAAATAAAATAAATCATTTATTTTTTTTTTCCTCTAAGGAATTCAAACCAGTATAAATAAAAAAACTTATGATTTTAATCAATCCCATATTCCTTTAATAAATAAAAAAATTACTGAGGTTATGAATTATGTTATATATAAAGTATTATAATCATTATCTTCTTTCTTTCTTTCTTTCTTTCTTTCTTTCTTTCTTTCTTTCCTTTCAAAGTCAAAGTCTACTCAGTCAAAGAAAAAAAGTTTATTAATTTACGTTTAAAAAAAAAGAGGATAAGATAATATAGAAAAAAAAATCGGGCTGAGTGGCGCAGTTTGAACAAATCAGGTTTCGGGCCGGGTCAAATTTTTGAAATCTAACGGCCGGTTTGGGTGGAACCGTAACCACTAAATATTCGAACCCACCCTTCCTGATCCACGTTACCCCCGATGATATTAATATACAAGTCTGGTCTAGACTGAGAATCGTGCGCGCGTGGGGGAGTAGTGGTGTTAAATGACTCGATTTTAGCCGATTTTTTAAAAACGGCGAACATATAAAAAAAATATATTACCTAAGCCTCGAAATATGGCTCGAAAGAAAGAAAAGAAAAGAAAGAAAGAAAGAAAGAAAGAAAGAAAGAAAGAAAGAAAGAAAGAAAGAAAGAAAGAAAGAAAGATTAAAATATTAAACTATTTAAAAATTAGATAGCAAATCTTATATTGCTGATAAGTTTCAGTCTTTCTTTCTTTCTTTCTTTCTTGTGTCATCTATGAGCAAAATCCTTAAGGGTTGCCGTAGTATTTTTCTTTAGATAGAACAATAAAATATTAAGTTTGCCGTTTTTTAAAAAACCGGCCCAAATCGAGCCGTTTTAACCGTTACACGCGAGTGTTATAAGCGCCATTTTGTAGTTGTACGTTGACTAAATTGACATTTGGGTTTTGTGTTAAAGGAAAACTCTCTATCCCCATTTATGGGACGGTAAAGTAGCAATGACACAAATTTCATATCATAGATTGACGATTTATTCGTCGAGATACAGTCACCAATAGAAGCCCCACTGTATAACGCCATTTAGTGTGTCTGCTGGGTGAGTAAATTACATTTTCGTCAATATAAACAATAAAAATGTCATTTAGCCTACATCACTAGAGTCTTGCTCATCAATAAAATATATAGGCTCGTCACGTGGTCCGAAAAATACTAATGTCCATTTTTGGCTATAAAATAGATAAACATCTTTAAATTATTCCTCATTGGGCAACATTAAAAATAGATTGAGTTTGAGATTTTTTTCCCTATAAGCTTTTCTAACGAGATGGCCGGTGCGGGCCAAATCATGCGGCGTCTCTATGTTAGAATACAAAACGGCGACTACAGCTGATTACTTCGTTTGTGCACTTTTAAAGAATCAATCGCCAATGTAAAGGGTTAGTCTTTTTTTTAGCGTTATATATGTGTCGTATGATTCAAATCATTTTACTGAAAAATTCTGTTTTGACCGGAAGTATTCCAAATATAACACGTGCTAGAATATTTCCGGTCAAATCAGATTTCTAAAATTTTTTTAAAAAAAGCCATCAATTAATTAATAAATTATTATTAGGTTTATAGGTTTAGGTTGTAAATAAAACTAAAATATTAATTTATTAATAACGAATAGCGGGGAAAAATTTTTTTTTTAAAATAATTTTCTTCGTTAGGTTTACGTCCAACAGCTGATACACCTCTTCGCTAGCGATAATATATCAAGATGCCACTGTCCGGCGTTTTTTTTGTTTAGGACTGGACGGGTGGCGCGTTTATACTATTAAATTGATTTAAATGCATGTGGTCCGCACGTCGATTAAATGCCATTAAAATAATTGATCGACGTGCGAACCACAAAATGGTGCTACAGCTGATCTAGTTCATGCGCATTATCGGGCAGGGCACCTATATCTTAATAGACATCGCCTTATCTAAAACAGCAGATTATCAGGGCAGCAGTGTCATTTACGATCTACATTCCACGCTTAAAATAAAATAATAATATAATGTAAATAACACTAATTTTGTACGTGTGTGGATTCAACCTAAATTCGGTGAAAATATTATTTTTTTTTATTATATAAACTTTAAAATAATTTTAATTCGCGATAAATTTTTGTAAAAATAATTAAAAAATATATTTTTTTAAAAAAAAATTGTCGTAAAATAAAAAGCAAAGCACATCCAGGTAACATTATTAGATTTAAAATTTTAATTTATATTTATGTGTTTTATTTTAGAAAAATTAAATTTTTTATTGATTTAGATATAAATACCTAATTAAATTTTTTTTCTTTTAAAGTATAATTAAATATATATTTTTTATTTGTTAGGTGTCAAAGATATAACTTAAAATTTATAACACATAAGAAATTAAAATATGATAATAGAAAAACAAAGTTCCGAAAACCCGGGGGTTTGATCCGAACTCTGAAACCGGGTGGAGATCTTATGGTGAATCAATAAAGCCGGATTTTACGTAATTTGTAAAACCATTGCCTATATATTTATCCAAGGGTTTAGGGCAATGACATATAATAATATTACCTAGAACTGACGATGCATTCATAATAATGAAATTTCAAAGCGTCGTTAAAAGCAAATCAGCTAGATCCGCCATTTTGATAAACCCATATATTAATTATTCTCATGTTAAAAAACTAATTATTAAATTGGTAACTTGCTTCCTTATTATCTCGATAATCCGGTAATTCTTTAATAAAGTTTGCGGTCAGACATAGGAATAAATATGGCCTCTCGAAAGAAAGAAAGAAAGAAAGAAAGAAAGAATTTTTTAATAATGATTATGGGTAATCAAAATGACGTCTCCAGCTGTTTTTCATCGATGTAAACTTTTAAATGGATGCATCGTCAGTCTAGGGTATTATTATAAGTAATCGGTTTGATCCGAACTCTGAATCCGGGTGAGCAAGTTTTTATAGCGAACAATAAAGCCGGGTTTTAAGTAATTCATTAAATTAAACCATTGCCTTCCAAGGGTTTAGGCCGGGTTCTACCTTCAAAATTTTCTGAATTAAGATTTTTTTGGGATAGTTTAAAATTCAAAATGCATTATTGGCAACAAAAAAAAATAAAAAAATTTACCAAGATTGCCTTCATGCTGAAAACCAAAATTAATGAAGCACTGAATATTCTCGGTGAGCCAATATGCAATGCCTAATTAGGATGGGTAAACTGCAGAGTTGTTAAAGGATCTAGATACAAGTATCTAGATCCTGTATCTAGATATAAAAATGTGGTATCTGTATCTAGATAGATTTTTGATTAAATTATCTGTATCTAGATATTATTTTAGACGATGAACCTGTATCTAGGTCCATTTAAAAAGTATCTTTTAACAACTCTGTATAAATAAATTTATAAAATTGATACCAAAATTCAAGATAGAAAAATAGAAATACAAAGAAAAAACACAATAATAATAATTTTTAAAAAATATTCATGTTAAACGAAATATATATAAAGAAAAAATTACTATCATTATTAGCGTTGTTAAACGGCTCGCTTTTGAAGCCGATTTTAAGGGCTTACTCAACACTTCGTAATAGGAAAAATATTACCCAAGTCCTGAAGATTTTGCTCAGAGTCTGGAACTACGATTCGTAAGATAGGTTATTCTAAACATGCTGGAATACTTTCCCGGTAAAATCAAAATTTTAAATTTAAAAAAAAAAAACTCACTCAAAAAATGTTCGGAATACCTGCCTTATGAATCTTTGAGTCATATATAGTTTATATACTAAAAAAAAATATGGAAAAATTTAATATAAATTTATAATTAAGTTTAAAAAGAGTTCGTGGAAAAATTGACTGAAATTCGTGAGGGTAGGATTTTCCAAACATTACGGCACACATTTCCGGTTTAAATCAGATTTTTAAAATATTAGAAAACGCGCTCAAACATTGCCGGGAAAAAAAAACACATTTAGCATTTTTTTAAAAAAAGAGTTGTCAAATAGAATTGTGGCATCTTAGGGAAAGGTGTAACCCCGAAAATTAGATGAAATTGGGTAAAATTGAAAACGGTTGCAAATTAGATGATTTTTTTTTTCACCCCTGAAAGAGCTAATGTTGGGGGATCGTTTAGTAAAGTAATTTTAGGTGAGTTTCTACACTTTGAAATAGAAAAAGGTCAACGCAGCTCTCGATCCCATATGAATTATATCGCCTTTGAGAAGCGACCCATTTTTCAATTATTAATTTTTTTAAAAAAAATAAATGTGTCTATAATATTGTTTTTTTTTGAGTAATGACGAATAGCGTTAAACGTTATTGATTTTTTTCTTGCATTCGATCAAAATATTAGATAGCGTTGTAATTTTTGCCGTGATTCCGTCAATATATATTTCAAAAAAAATAAATGGGTTTTATTATTGTATTTTGATAAATTTTGGTAGTTGTTTTTAGCAAGTGGTCCAACGTCGTATATCATTACCCTTGTTTTTTTTTGGCAGATTTTCAGGATTTTTTTCATGCACTTATTTTTGAATAAAATCTTTCTTTCTTTCTTTCTTTCTTTCTTTCTTTCTAAGGGAAGAAGTTTTATCGTTTTTAAAAGAAATGGAAGCAAATATTTGTCTTAGACTTCATTCTAAAAAAAAAGTATTATGAAAACGAAAATTTTTTATCTTAACATATTTTCCACGTGGGGTGTTTATCTAAGCTACAGCTGACCTATACAAAAATGGCGGAGATGTAGCAGTTAAAACTTTACCCGGTTAAAATTTAATATGAAAAAAAATTTTAAAGGTTAATTTTTTTTTTCAAAAACCTTAGTCACCAACAATGAAAGTCAAGGAAGGAAATTAATTTACAAATAAAATGGCGTCATTTATGCGGGCTATATAATCTCTGGAAGATATATCATCCGAATATAACTGACGGTGACGAAGTAAACCTGTCTGAAGGGAGGGGGGGTCGGACTGTGTAAATAGCTAATTATGGTGTCAAAATGAATAAAGCCCGAATGAATCCACCAATCATCCTTCAAATTTCTACCACCACAACTGCGCCCCGGGAGATTTAAATAATAGCGGGAAGAGAGAAAGGTATTATAAAATGATACAAAAGAAGAAACGTAAGAACAAAGCAAAAAATGGGGTATTATTTAGGCATAAAGATAAAATTTTTGCATTAATTATTAATAGCGCACGAAAAAATTTTTAAAAAAAATATCGATTTTAAAAATATTAAAAAAGAAAAATTAGATTATTTGATATTTTACATATACCTTTTTATTATGAGGTACCGTAACTGTAACTGTAAACCCATTTTCCTATTATTATATCTTCCTTTACATTCGCTACGATTATTTTTTTTTAGGCCGAAGAGTGTCCAAGACGCATTACTATATTATAATTAGTAGACCTATTTAGCGTTAAATATAAGTGATTAACGAATTCGGGCAAGAAAATTTGCGGCGAATTTCGTTGACCTAGGACGGGGAAAAAGAAGAAGATACTGCCAGCTGATATCCTAGCGTTTTCTCGATAGGACCTCGGA